ATTTCTAACTTGCATGCAGAGTGATCCGTTTATGTTTTGAGAGTCTAAATAGGGCCTGGCTTTTGATGACCATTGCTTCTTGTGTGACTCGGGAGCACTTACTGGGAGTGGGTGGGGCCATTACTTTTTTCTGAGGGGATCGATGGGAATGTAGGGGCGTTTATTGTGATAATACTTCTTACCCTAATTCTTTCTGCAGACTTTTTTACTACTTCTCCAACAGTATCATCACTGACAACACCCGTGGTTTTCTTCAGATTTTTCATGCAGCCTCGGAAAGCAGGTGTAGAAATGTTAAACCTGATAAGGGATACAGTAAAGGAGGAGAGAGATCAGTGAGAACTGGAGCTGACACACTTGTTTTCTACCACTGCTCACTCATAAAACGTACTGTCTATTTTATGGTGATGTGGTTCCATGAGGCTCCTTCAGCGCTATCCTGGGACTCCCATAATGCTTATTTCATAATAGTGGGAAAATCTGCTTCCTTTCTGTGTGAGGCTGCACTCTTAACATTAAAAATACAATAATATTGACAGAGAGTGGCGTGTGTCACCAAAAATATCCAGAGACAAAGGATGCACATTATCTAGAACTGCCCATCCCTCGCTCCCCAGAGTCATGGTATTGTATGGCAGATGGGAAGTAGATTGGTAAGTTAATACGCCACATGTATTTTACAAGTTTGTATTAAGAAACTGATAAATACCACTAAGAACCAGGAATGCTCTAGAAAAACTCTGCTCTTTCTGTCACACTTAAGTAAGCCACTGTGAATTTAGAAGAAACGAAGTATTACTTTTTGGTTCTATTCAGTTAGGGAAATGTAGCTTGATTTAATCAATACAGAGCTGGGTTGGACACTGTATCCACCACTTCCTAACTGTGCTACATGGGCAAGGGGCTATTGTGAGGACTGCAGCAGCTAAAGCCCAGCATGAGCCTGGAGCACTGGTGGCCTGGGGCTGAACACTCAGGGGGTGTTTTGACAGGCATAATGGTGCTCTAGAGCTGTGGGCTCTGGAGTCAGGCTGCCCGGGTTCAAGTTCTGTCCCTGTTGCTTGAGCTGGAGGTTTTGCTTCTCTGCACCTGTATTTGCTCATCTGTACGGAGAGAACATGTTAATCTGTTTCATTGGGGGATGTCAGGAGATTAAATTCATATATGCAACACACTCAAATGGTGCTTAGTGCAAAGTGAGGAGTCAACAGGTGATGGCAGGACTAATCACTTCCCTGCATTACCATACAATCATTATTCTTAGGACAGCGATTTCTATAGGAGCACTTCCTATGGGGTCCTAGGCATTCCCATTTCATTTGATTTACCGATCTGACAGGAGCTGAATTCACATAAAGCATTAACACATATGAACTGATGGAGGGCCAGGCAAAAATTAGTGTTTCTTAAACAAACGATGTACTAAGAAAACCCAGCATGATTTCATCATAAATCTCGAAGGCAGCTCACTTCGAGAAAGGTGTCTGCATTCATTTTAATCCAACTCATTACAAACATCTGAGCTACATGGAACATGCATAAGATTAAATTTCATTAAAAAGGAAAGGAAGAAACGAATCCTTACTGGCATTGTAGCATGAGCTTGGTTATTTTATAAAGATAAATTTTTGCCTTGGAATAAGAGGGAAGTTCATTCTAAGTCCTGGAGCGGGTCCCTTGTACATAGCATTAGGTCCATTCTTTTGGGCCATCTGAGGGTCTAGACTTCTATGTCCCCCAGATCAAGGATCTGATCACACTGGATAGAGGGATGCAATTGTGTAAGGGAAGATACCGCTGTATTAATGGGTTCTTACACAGAGTCTGTATGCATATTTTAGGCCTATCTGTCCACAAAAACCCATCCATTTCTCTAGCTGCTGTAGGCAGATTTTGAGAGTGATTAGAGCAAAATGTATTCCTAACCTCAGTGTGGAGCACTTAAAAATGTTCAACAGATCCCAGACTAATTCTCACATTCATTTTCATGTTCTATGATTATACTCTGTAACACAATGGTGTAAGTCCCCAGGAAAAATGTCCTCATTGGTGTCAGACCCTGGCATTATCTAGGATGGCTTGTTCTCCTGGAAAGCAAATGGAATTAACAGATTTGTGGTTTCTGATTATAATCTTAAACAAGTCATTCCTAACTCTGGGCCCCATTCCCAGAAGACACACTTCAGTGAGAGATGAAGAGGCAAAACACACAGTAAATTCCTTGAGAAAAACTGCTTCATTTAGCGATGACCCTAGTGTGCTTTTGCTGAGCACTCTGACCCTCCACAAGGGCCACCATCTAGGTTGGAGACTAGACATAGCCCTCCTGGGGAAGAGTTGCCTGGCTGCCCTGCACAATTTGGCTGCTGGATGTTGGTAGAACTCATCTGAGCCCACTGTCCCCTAGTGACCACATCAGAAGATACCTTTAGGACTACCTGGGCCACCAAGGCCTACTCAGAGGGACAAGATTGTAACAACACCTGAATATTGCTTAGCATTTTACTTTTGAGGTCATAAAGGTCAGGGAAATATTTTGACAGGCCTCTCTATCTCCTACATTTTCCATGTTCTTATGATTTTAATAAAAAATAAGTATAGGGCACTGAATAATATAGGCATAAGTAATAACTTCATGAATGCAACTGTAATAGCTCAGGATATAAGAGAAGGAATTGACAAATGGGACTGCATGAAACTAAAAAGCTTCTGCACAGCAAAGAAAACAGTCACTAGATTGAAGAGAGAGCCTACAGAATGGGAAAAAATCTTTGCTAGCTATACATGTGACAAGGGATTAATAATCAGAATTTATAGGGAGCACAAACACTAACCTCTCAAAGAATCAACAGCCTACTAAACAAATGGGCAAATGAACTGATCAGACATTTCTCAAAAGAAGAAGTGCAAATGGCCAATAAATAAATGTTCAACATCCTTGCCATAAAAGAAAAGCAAATCAAAACAGCAGGTTGTTAGAATGGCTACCATAAATAACACACACAACAACAAATGCTGGAGGGGACAAGAGGAAAAATGAACTCTTAAATATTGTTGGGAATGTAAATTAGTGCAACTGCTTTGGAAAGCAGTATGGAGGTTTCTCAAAAAACTAAAAACAGAACTACCACATGGTCCAGCCATACCACTGCTGGGCATGAACCTGAAGGAATGTGCACCAGTATACAATAGAGCCACTTGCACTCCCATGCTTACTGTAGCACTTTTCACAATAGCCAAGCATTGGAACCAGTCAAGAAACAGCCATAACTGATGAATGGATTAAGAAAATGTGATATATTTACAAATGGAGTATTAGCCATAAAGAAGAATAAAATTATGTTGTTTACAGGTAAATGGATGGAACTGGAGAACATCATGCTAAGTGAAATAAGCAAGGCTCAAAAGATCAAAGGTCACTTGGTTTCCCTCTTCTGTGGAAGCCAGACCTATAAGATAAATGCACACATAAATACATACATGATCTTAACCACACACACACACACACACACACACACACACACACACACACACACAGAGAGAACATGATTTACTAGTGGGCCTGTCTGAGGAGACTACAGGGAGGTGGGAAAAGGAAAGAGAATGTTAGAGAGTAGGAAATACTGAAATACTGCATCTGTTCATGAAGATGATGTAACACAATGCACTTAAGCTGCTGAATGATGGGGGAGCACAGTGATAGAAAGAATGTAATGGGGGACTAATCTGATTAAAGCACAATGTATACATATCTGAAATACCAAGGCAAGAAGCCCCTGAAAAATGAAGGGCAGGAAAGTAAAACAGATCTTGTCCATGGGTGGGTATCAGTGAGAGGGGGGCAGGGTATAAGGAAGGAGTGAAGGAAGGTGAATGGTGGATGTATTTTGTGTTCGGGTATGAAAACAGAAGAATGAAATCTGTTGAAATTGTTCCAGGAAGTGGGGAAAGGGGATAAGGGAGAACGATGGAGGAGATAAATCTAATTAAGATATATTGTAAGCATATATGTAAATGTCATAATATATCCCCCTGAACAACTATTATATGCTAATAAAAATATTTTTAAAAAACAAATTTAAAAAATTCCTGTCACCTAAGAAGAAAGAAAGAAAGAAAGAAAGAAAAGGAAAGAAAGAAGGAAAGAAAATATAGGAGCTGGAGGCATAGCCCAATCAGTAGAGAATTGAGAAGTGAGAAGCTCTAAGTTCAAACCCCAGTATCATAAAAAAAAAAAGAATATAAACTTACCAAGAAAAGGGAGGCAACCTCTTGGTTGTAAGAGCCTAAGACAGATTACTAGGAAAATTTTATATATGTACACTGATATGTAGATGTATACCAGTTTATGTATTTCTATATAGAAATGATATGGAACTGATATTTCTATATCAGTTTATGTATTTCTTTAATGAGTAGAGACAAAAAGGTGGAAAAGGTTGAGTTCTGACTTCATCAAAGGCCAAACTACTCTTTGGTGGCAGAGCCAAAACTAGAACCACTTGTGTGGTTCTGCCCTCCACTCTTATCCAGTAAACCTGGACTGACCACACTGCTATCTCCTAGCCTTCTGCTAACACCAAACAAGTACAAACCAATGGCTCCATTATTGTCTCACCTGAAGAATCCTTGTGGCTCGGGGAGATCCCTTTCTGCTCCCATAACCTCAGGGACCACCTGTCTCTGAGCATCATTTACCCTGTCTCCAGCCTGCCTTCTCTCTGAAGGGGCAGGCCAGTGTATCCACTTGCTTTTGGGCTTCTCAACTTGGCTGCTTCTGGGAACTCAGCCTGTCGCAGACTGACCATGTCACTTACTCCTTCACTGGTGCCTTCCATCTGCCCAAGTTGTTGCCACAAAAAGAGGCATCAATCTTTGCCACTTTTGTCCTTTGCTCCCCAAACCTAGGCAATTGTCTAGAGCTGCCCATTTTCCATTCTTCATCTATTTGGGAACCCACTCCTTTTTTCTAACCTCCATTTCTCTATGTCAGGGCACATCATCTCTCATCTCAGTTAGTATGTTCCTCTTCCAAGTCTGCCTGCCTCTGTTCTTCCCCCTCCCTAACCCAGTCTCTGTTCTGTACTAGAGTGAGCTACTGAAAACCCAAATGTGAACATCTCCTTTCTCTGGCTCCTACTATTATTTGCAAGATCCTGTGTATGGCCCCAGTCCCACATGGCAGCTTGTGTACTCCACTTCTTTGAAGTTCACACATTCTCTAGCTCTTGGCTCTTTGCATGTGTTGACTGCTAACATGCCTTAGGTCCTAGCTAGATACTACTTGCCTGATGTTCCCCACTGGGTTAGACTCTCTCTTGGGCTCTGTCAGTACCCTGAACTCTCCTCATGCTATGTCATACTCTACGACAGCAACCATCTCTCTTCCACTCTTCTTTAGAGACTGACCTGCTCACTGTTTGTGCAGTAGACAGTCAAGAAAGACTTGTATGATGAACAAATAAGCAATAACTCTTGAATGTATTGAGAAGTTTGACTATTTTAAACTATTTTATTACATTTAATTGAATAATATTCAATTAACTCATAACTACTTATGGCTGCACTGCCATAAGTATTGAATATTGATGATACTAAATAGGAACATCACCTCTTTGTCTCTTCATTTGTAAAATTCAGGGGTCATATACCTTGATCCACAATACCCTGCCAATTCAAAGACATTCACCTCCAAACTCTATTAAGTATAGTCCTTGTTCATTTGTGTTTGTCTCTAGGGGTACTTTGTAAATCACATCTATTACTCCTTCCAAGCAATTTATAAATGAGAAAAAGAGTACCTGGCTTCAGAGCTCACATAAAAGTAATCATAACCATACATTCTGGGAGTTCTCTTAGCTTGCACATGAGCCTTACCACTCTTTCAGGATATTGTGTTTTATACATTTTTGTTAGCTCTCTAAAGGCCGTTTGGGAAGTTACAAACAAATAAACAGAATGTAAAAGTTATTATTTAGTGCATTCTCAAAGTGGTGGCATTTCTCTCATTTAGATTAAGCTCTGCAGCCTTTACAGAATGAACTAAATGCATTCATGTATTCATTCACTCAAGGAAGAGAACACCTATTTTACATCCTACATCATATAAGGAGCAGGTAATACAGGTGTGAATAAGATGTTGTGTCTTAGATTTTTCAAGAATCTTCCTGAAAGTGGTAAACTCAGCTTTCATGGCCAGTACTGCTCATCAGGCCATGGGCACCTACATTCTTCTACGCAACCTATAATGGCTGAAGGCCACAGCTCATCCTGCTTGTCTGCGTCTCGCCAACCCCACTGTGTTCTTCATGGTTTCTCTCCTTCCAAGAATGACAATGGGGATGGCGTACAATTTTCCCAATTTTTCCCCCTTTCAAATTGCTAGTCTCATTATTCAGTATTTACAATCCAATATACTGTGTTTACTACATGTGAATTCTGAAAAGTTAAATTGTTTGTGTGTGGCTGGAATTAAGCAAGTGAGACTAGAATTTATTGGTGGTAATCCACTATGAGAGGTATATATTTAAAAGAAATATGTCATCTTACCTTTCCCTGATGGCAATTGGAATTCCTCCCAGGTAATAGGTGCTAAAGTCAAATATTTCCCCTTCAATTCTAATGTTTTGGTTATTCCCCACATTTATCCACATAAGTTTCTGAGCTTTCCCAATTTTGATTAATATCTGAAATAAATTAAAAATGAAACAGCAAGCAATGAGAAATAAAAGAATCCTATTTACAGTGGCTCAGAGCTATTTGTGTTTTTATTTGTCTTCCTTCAGCTTCATTTATGTACATGGAAGGAAGACTGCTCAGTAGCAGTTTGTGATAAAAATATAGTAAAAAAATTTCAATAGACACGTTTTTACTTTAGTCATGGTTTACATATGACCTATTTTATATCCAAATGTTCAAATAGTAAAAGGATTGTATCCCTCAGTTAATAGTTATAAGTTTGTCTGGTAATAGATAGGTTTGTATTTTGTTTTTGTTTTCTGTCACTGGCTTAATTTCAAAGGTTTAAGATATTTAACAATTTAAGTAAACACATTCAAAGGATATACCGAATGATCTTTCCCATTGTTGATGGTGTCTCTAATTCCTTTCTCTTTTGGTGACTCTGAATTCAGTTTGTATCTCACCATGAGGTTGCCATCTTCTATATTCAGGGATATGAAGTGATCCTAGGGTATGGAAACAATGCGGGTTACCAGAAAACCTGGGTGAAGAACAGCCAGAGCACTGGAACTCAAATGATTCTCCAGCCACACACTGCTCTCTGCTTGAGCAGCTTGCAGGGAGAACAGCACTGTCCAACCTGACTCATGGGAGAGGTATGATGGCTGACTTGTAACATCGTACTCAGTACCTGGCACTCAGTATGGACATGCTGACCATAACCATGAATTTGTTTCATTCCATCCATAATTAGCATGCAAAATGGAAACTGAAAAGATACAGACCAGTAGAATCATTAGAAAAGACTCTCTCTCTTATCTGGGTGCTGGTGGCTCATGTTTGTAATCCTAGCTACTCAGTAGGCAGAGATCAGGAGGATTGCAGTTCAAAACCAGCCTAGGCAAATAGTTTGTGAGACCTTATCTCAAAAACAGCCATCACAAAAATAGGGCTGGTGGAGTGCTTCAAGGTGTAGGCCTTGAGTTCAAACCCCAGTACCACAAAAATAAATAAATAAATAAAAAAGACAAGACTCTCTTTTTTTGGAGAGAGATACAGTCTTACTTAATAACTAGATACTTTCTACCATCTGTTTGCTGACTTACTGCCACCTCACAGGCTCTTTGCTGCCCCATTCCCTTTTCTTTCCATTTCAGTGTTGGGGGTCCCTCAGAGGACTCCTCCACTTCCTTAGATAATCAGTTACTGGTCCAGGAAGCCCAGATGTTCCTCTCCAGTCCGAACCTGTTTTCTCAGGGCCAGGTCTGTGCATCTGATCCCCTTGTTAGTGTTACTGTTGCATGAGTCACAGATACTCAAACTTAGAACACCCCAAACAGAATCTATGACCTACCTGCCTCCCATATATTGGCAAACCTACCTCTTTTTCCTTCATATGTGTACATTCTCTTTCTCTCTCTTGTACACACACACACTCCTCCTTGCCCAGCAAGCCACACACCAAAGTGCCATCCCTGACTGTTCCTTCTCTCTCATCGAATGAAGTCTTATGAATTCTCAATCACAGCACATTTAGCCGGATCACACATCAATAGTCTGCTTGTCTCCCTATGTCCTGTTTTAATCATCCTACACTCTGCAGCCAGAGCAGCCTTCTGAAACCACCAGTACCTGCATGTAACTTTCCTTTGCTCTCAGGACACAGGCCTGACTCCCAGCAGAAGTGGGGAGGCGTGGCCTACCACCTCACCCCATTCCTCAGCCACCCTTCCAGCCCTGAGTGCTCATGACTTCTTTGTGTCTCTTCCATTGCTAACCGGCCCATCCCCAGTCCTGTCCTCTTCAAGTGCCATCTTCTATTTGTTTTCCAGGTCTCAGAAGCATCCTTTGATCACATAAATCTTTCATGTCATACATCCTCATTTTTTTTTGTATATACTGCTCCTTAAAATTATGATGAATTTAACAATTAACCTCTTGACAGTATACTCTTGCCCAACACCTGCCTTCCCTTCCAGAGGGCAGAATCATATCTGTCTTGGTCATTATTATCTCCCCATCATGCACTTGAATCAGCTACTTCCTTAGTGTTTAGAAAATCTGAGCGATTTTGGATGTTGGGGCTTTAAGGCTTTGCTCTTACCCAGTTCTCTACAATAAGAAGGCTTGTCTTTGAAGTAATGGCCAGAGTCCTCATCTAAAAGGAAAATTCATCTTTCTCTGGATTTTAAACTTTGTCCTTGAGAGTTCATCAACTTTGGAGTAGCATCAGTGCCCCGAGAGTAATGAACCATTATACTGCAGCAGCTCTCTAGACCATTCTTACATGATGGCATCATCTAAGTTCTCCTTTAACATCAACACTACTTCTGGTTCTCAGTCTCCAAGAACTCTAAAATGTAATACAGGTTGATTGTCCCTAACCCAAAAACTCAAAATGTGAAATGTTTGAAATCTAAAACTTTCTGTTTGAGTGCCAATACCATGCCACAAGTCTGATGGCTTAATGTATACAAATTTTGTTTCATACACAAAATTATTTAAAATACATAAAATTACCTTCAAGCTATGTATATAATGTGTATATAAAACATACAAATTTCATGTTTAAACCTGGGTTCTATCCCCAAGATATTTTATTCTATATATGCAAATATCATAAAATCTGAAAGAAATCCAAATTCTGAAACACTTCTGGACCCATACATTTTGGAAAAGACAGACTCAACTTGAACAAAGAAGAGCTGGTGTTGGAAAACAACAGTTTTACCCTGAACATACTGGATGACTTCCAGTTCTCTGCATCCTTCAGGCGATTGGGACATTCCCAAATCTTGAGAACTAGTTCAGCCTTAGAATCTCCCAAAGGGTCCAGATCAACCCCAGACAGGAGAATTGAGCCAAGTCTACATCCCCAACCTTCAGGTGGATGGGTCTGGTAAAATCCCAAGCTCTACATCAATCCTGCATTCTCAGATCAGAACCTATGAATGGATGCAGATTTCTCCAGAAACATTACCTGTGAGAGCAGCTACAGAAGATCCTATTTCAGGGATTCACCCACTAAAGACCCAGTGGAATTATACTAGAAACAGAGAAAGCATTGCTCCCACTGTCCCTCTACCAGCAGATGGTGCTAATGATCACATGTAGAGTGCCATTTTGGATTTATCTAACCTAGTAAATTTAAGAATGGTGTTCAGTAGGCTGTAAGAGAGAAAAATAAATAAAATATAAAGGTAAACCCATCAAAATAACAGCAGAATTCTCTGAACTGAAATCTTAAAAGCAAGAAGGGCATGGAGTAAGGTATTTCAAGCACTGAAAGAAAATAATTTCAGTCCTCAGATGTTCTACCCAGAAAAACTATCATTCAAAATTGATGGAGGAATAAAATCATCCATGATAAATGGAAACTAAAACAATATATGACCACCAAGCCACCACTACAGAAGATTCTGAAAGGAATCCTACACCAAGAAGACAAAAACAAACATAACCACAAAAGGATGGGAAGTATTAAACTTCATGAAAAGAACAAACACGTACTCAGAGAGTAGCATCGAATTGGCTGCACATACTCAAGTCCTTAAACAACAAGAACAACTAAATGTCAGGAATCACCACATACCTGTCAATACTAATACTGAATGTTAGTGGACTCAACTTCCCCATCAAAAGGCACAGTTTGGCAAACTGGATTAAAAAGTAAGACTTGACAATCTGTTGTTTATAAGAGATGCATCTTATTGACAGAAACAAACACTGGCTTAGAGTGAAAGGTTAGAAGATGATTTACCAAACTAATGGCCCCTGAAAGCAGACAGAAATACCAATACTTATATCAGATAAAGTAGACTTCATACTTAAAATTAGTCAAAAGAGATAAAGTCACTTCATACTAATAAAAGCAGCAATATATCAAGAGGAAATAACAATTATCAACTTATATGTATCCAATGTCAGTGTACCCAATATTCACTAAACATACACTAAAGGACTTAGAACTGCATATAGACCCCAACACAGTGAAGAGGGAGACTTTAATACCCCTCTATCAGCAATAGATAGCTCAAGCAGACAAAAAATCAACAAAGAAATCCTAGAACTAAATGACACCATAGATCTAATGGAACTGACGGATGTCTACAGAGTATTTATTCCATCCTGCAACAGCACAATATGTATTCTTCTCAACAGCCCATGGAACTTTCTTCAAAATAGATCATATCTTAGGGCACAAAAGCAAGTCTCAACAAATACAAGAAAACTGAAATAACTCCTGCATACTATCTGACCACAGTGCAATAAAACTAGAACTCAACAACAAAAGAAGCAGCAGAAACTACTCAAACAACTGGAGGCTGAACAACACATTGCTCAGTGATCAGTGGGTCATAGAGGAAATAGGGAGGAAATCAAAAAGTTCCTGGAATTTAATGAAAATGAAAATACAACCTATCAGCAAAGGCAGTCCTAAGAGGAAAGTTTACAGTCATGACTGCATATATTGAAAACAGAAAGATCTCAGATAAATAACCTAAAGCTACATCTCAAACTCCTAGAAAAATAAGAACAAGCTAAACGCAAAACAAGTAGGAGAGAAATAATAAAAATAAGGGCTGAAACCAATGAAATACAGATAAAAAAAAAACCATAAAAAGAATCAATGAAACAAAAAGCTGGTTCTTTGAAAAACTAAACAAGACTAAAAAATCCCTGGCAAATCTGACTAAAATGAGGAGGGATAAGACCCAAATTAATAAAATTAGAAATGAAAAAGGGGAGATAACAACAAACACCAAGGAAATCCAGGGAATCATCAGGGACTACTTTGGGAACATGTATTCAAATAAACTGGAAAATCTAGAAAAAATGGACAAATTTCTAGATACATACAACCATCCAAAACTGAATCTAGAGAATATTAACCACCTAAACAGATCTAAAACATGCAATGAAATTGAAGCAGCAATCAAGAGTCTCCCCAAAAAGAAAAGTACAGGACCTGTTGAATTCTCTGTTGAATTCTACCAGACCTTTAAAGAAGAACTAATACCAACCCTCCTTAAACTTTTCCATGAAATAGAAAGGGATAAAACACTGCCTTACTCATTCTATGAAGCCAGAATTACACTCATCCCAAAACCAGACAAGGACACATCCAAAAAAGAGTATTATAGGCCAATCTCTAATGAATATTGATGCAAAAATCCTCAATAAAATAATGGCAAACTGAATCCAACAACATACCAGAAAGACCATTCACCCTGACCAAGTCAGCTTCATCCCAGGGATGCAAGGATGGTTCAACATATGCAAATCATTAAATGTAATACAGCATATTAACTGAAGCAAAGACAAAAATCCACCTGATCATCTCGACAGATGCAGAAAAAACTTTTGATAAAATTCAACACCATTTCATGATAAAAGCTCTGATGAAACTAGGAATAGAAGGAATGTACCTCAACATAATAAAGGCTATATATGACAGACCTATAGCCAACATCATACTTAATGGGGAGAAACTGAAACCATTTCCCCTAAAGTCAGGAATGAGAGGGTGCCCACTCTCTTTACTTCTATTCAACATAGTCTTAGAATTCCTAGCCAGAACAATAAGGCAGGGAAAAGAAATAAAACAAATACAAATAGGTAAAGAAGAAGTCTATCCCTATTGCAGGTGACATGATCTTATACTAAAAGATCTGAAAAACTCCACCAAAAATCTCCCAGACAGCATAAACAGATTTAGCGAAGTAACAGGATACAAATCAGCTTACAAAAATCAGTAGCCTCTCTATACTCCAATAATTAACAGACTGAGAAAGAACATAGGAAAACAATTCCATTTACAATAGCCTCAAAAAAAATCAAATACCTAGGAATAACCTTAACAAAGGATGTAAATGATCTCTACAACAAAAACTACGAATTATTGAAGAAAGAAATTGAAGATTATAGAAGGTGGGAAGATCTCTCATGCTCATGAATTGGCAGAGTCAACATAGTAAAAACGGCTATACTACCAAAAGCAATCCACATGTTCAATGCAATTCCCATCAAAATCCCAATGACATTCATCACAGAGATTGAAAAAATTAACCCTAAAGTTCATTTGGAAACACAAAAGACTATCAATAGCCAAGGCAATAGTGAGCAAAAGAGCAATGTTGGAGGTATCACAATACCCGACTTCAAACTATACTACAGAGCCATAGTAATAAAAACAGCATGGTACTGGCATGAAAACAAATATGAAGACCAGTGGAACAGAGCAGAAGACCTGGATATGAGCCCATGCAGCTATGCCCACCTAATTTTTGACAAAGATGTCAAAAACATATGATGAAGAAAAGATAGCCTCTTCAACAAATCTTGCTGGGAAAACTGGGTATCTGCCTTCAGAAAACTGAAACTAGATCCATGTTTGTTACCCTGTACAAGTATCAACTCAAAGTGGATTAAGGACGTTAATATCAGACCTGAAACCTTGAAGCTAGTACAGGAAAAAGCAGGGAATATACTAGAAACAATAGGCATAGGCAAGGACTTCCTCAGTAGAACACAAGTGGCTTAGCAACTAAGAGAAAGAAAGGATTGACAAATGGGACTATGTGAAATTAAATAGCTTCTGCAAAACAAAAGAAAGGGTCTCTAAATTGAAGAGACTACTCACAGAATGGGAGAAAATCTTTGCAAGCTATACAAGGGAATGATAACCAGAATATACAGGGAGCTCAAAAAACTAAACTCCTCCCAAAACCAATGACCCAATAAAGAAAAGTGCAATTGAACGGAACAGAACTTTTTCAAAGGAAGAAGTCCAAATCACATGAAAAAATGCTTACCATCCCTGGCCATAAAGGAAACTCAAATCAAAACCATACTAAGATTCCATTTCATGCCTGTTAGAATAGCTACCATCAAGAATACCACCACCAACAAATATTGGCGAGGATGCAGGGAAAAAGCAATCCTCATACACTGCTGATGGGAATGTAAGCTAGTACAACCACTATGGAAAACAGTATGGAGGCTTCTTAAAAAACTAGAAATAGATCTGCCATATGATCAGCAATCCCACTCCTAGGGATATACTCAAAGGAATGTGAGTCAGGTTACAACAAAGGCACCTACACGACCATGTTTATTACAGCACTACTCACAACAGCTAAGCTATGGAAACAGCCAAGATGCCCCACTACTGATGAACAGATTAAGAAAATATGGTATTTATACGCAATGGATTTTTACTCAGCCACAAAGAAGAATGAAATTTTGTCATTCACAGGTAAATGGATGGAACTGGAGAATATCATCTTTAGTCAAGTTAACCAGGCTCAGAAGGGAAGGCTGTGCGAGAGAGGGATAGGGCAAGGAAAGGAAACCAAAAACTTGAATGAGGTTGATGTACTCATTGTATAGGAATGAATACAGAAAATTTAAACTGGCTGGGGTCACCATGGGAAGCGGACTAGGAGGAGTAAAGAGAACTGGAAGAGGCAAATTGATTGGACCTGTAATACACATATGCATTTGAACAACATAAGGAAACTCCCTGTGTGTCTATCTTTATCTCAGACTAGCAAAATGTCATGTTTCTCATTTTATCGTCTATGTTTTTTCTTCTACAAGATCTGAGGAGGGCAGAACAGGTTCTGCTGTACAGTGTGTGTGTGTGTGTGTGTGTGTGTGTGTGTGTGTGTGTGTGTGTGCTGGCATTGGGGGGAAGGGGTAGAAGGATGAATATGGTGCAAACAATGTATACACCTGTATGTAAATGCAAAAATGACACCTGTTGAAACTGTTCCAGGAATCAGGGAAGGGGAGAGAGAAACAGAGGGGGGATTCAAGTATGATATATTTGATATATTGTAAGAACCTTTGTAAATGCTACAATGTACTCAAACAGAAGGAGGAGGACCTGGAGAGTATAGTACAAGGAATTTCACAGGAAAAAAAAGAAAAGACTGGTCTTCAGTAGCCTCAGCCACTTAAAGTACAGAAGCTTCTGTTTCTTGGGAAGTCAAACATCAGGCTGATAACAACATAATCCTCAGTCTGGCAAAAGCCACACCAAGATGGAAGCAGTAGAAAGTTAAATCATCTACATCTTGCAGACCCCAGATCTTCACTTTTTTTGAGGCAGAACAAGTAGATTATTAGGCAAGCAGTAGTTTTCAAAGAATAAAACTAACAAAGGGAATACAATGGGGGAAAGGAGAGATGTTCTGTTTTCCTCATCAAAATTCACAGCCCCCACATCCCAGGCCAGCAGAAAGAAAGCACAAGTGGCCAAGGCAAAAGATGCAGGTAACATTGGCACATCACTTTTCAGATCCAGTCTATTGTTTATAACAACCCAGTTATCCCCAAATTGCTACAAAGAGTGGATATACTTGGTAGTATCTGGATCCCTGTTGATTACCTGGTTTTCTGCAAAGAACAGCAAACCTTTATCCACAGTGGTCTGAATTGTTTGTACAAAGGTGGGAAATGGAGCGTTTGGTTGAGTTGGAACTCGAGCATAGCCTGTACCTTCAAAGTAATTTTTGTCTGATTCTTCCTTTCTCCTGCCAACATCAATCAGAAGTTAGAACACAGCAACAAATTGTCACTCACACAGGTATGCTTACTAATATGACATACAGCTCTCTGAAAAATGGAGCAATCTCTGTCACAATTCTGTTAAAGAGGAGAAAACATCTTTAAAGTGTTAAATACAGTCAGCTTTTTCTCCTGGAAATGCTATTTTACCCCACCTCAAAAACGATAATATTCAAGAGTCCCTTTGGAAATGCCTGCTTAGGGGGAAGTGGTTTGCCAGCTGAAAATCTCAAAATGCAAGAAGTTATTAATTTGAAATATAATATTATTCTGAGTAATACATACTTAATCATATTAGAATATCCCAAGCCCTCTTAATTGTAGGGATGGTTAGGAGCTCAAAGCATCAATTTTCAAATAGGTTCAGATGGCAGAGTATCTAGAAAGTCACCCACTTTGTGTACCACTATTTTAAAAAACTTAAAGGAAATGTATAATATGTGCTTAAATCGGGGGCCATCTAATAATATTGAATATTTTGTGGTAGGCGGCACCAGAATTTAAAGATTTCTTTTCAAAAATTGAAAAAACTCCATTAACCTAATGTTTTATAAAAATTAGGGAAAGATTGCCATTTTTAGGTTTTAGGATCAGACTACAGTGTGCGTGGAAGCACAGTTTAATAACTAATGGCCCAAAACAACCAGAAACCTCAACATCTCACTGGCCCACCCCTTTCTTAGATGTGGAAGCACTGCAAGTTCCCAACCCAGTCACAAAGTCACTGGCTTCTAGCGTTCATTTACCTTCTACAAGGCTCCACTTCAGTTGTGTTGAGATTGAAAGTTGTTTTAAAATTGTACAAACTCAGAACATTTTCATTAAGGTCATCTAATTCAATACAACCTTTGTATGGGGGGAATTTCAGTCTATTGGGAAGCTGAAAATAAAACAAAACAAAAAAATTTCTTACAAATTGAACCAAAAACAACAACCATGTTAACAAAAAAAATTTAGTATAACTCTATTACTTCCAACAGTCAATGTCATGTAAGGATTAGGAAGAATATGGATGCTGGAGTTGAATATTCTGGCTTTGTTATTTAGTAGGTATGTAGCCTTGGGCAAGTTATTAAACCTCTGCTTCAATTTCCTCATCTATAAAATGGGAATGAAAATGATATTTATTTATATTAATATGCTTAGCAGTGTACAAAAGAAGTACTCAATAAGTGTTAGCTATTATCACTAGCTTTAAGATAATAGTGAAACCTATTTATATATACTCAAAATAGAGACATGAAATCATCATACTAAATTAGAATTAATTTTACTCTGTGAAGTAATGTTTATACTTACTTTAAAATCAGGTGGGTAGCCTCCAACATAAAACACAACGTTTTCAGGATCTAAATCAAGGAGAGTGTTACTATTTCCACTCTCCATGTCATGGAATTGGGGCTTTTGGGGTTTACTGGATGTGGCTTCTTTGGTGTAATTAAGTCTTGCAAACTGATAAATTCTGTTTAAAATTAGATAATAAAGATATAAGAAAAATGAAAGAATTAAAAGTCAAGATGCTAAAAACAGGGTTCAGCAAAATATACATGGAAGAGTTTGATGAGGTAGGTCGGTTTCACAAAGAGAAACGTTAAATCTAACTTGTACCTCTGAAATTTCACTCGGTCCATAACTGCTTCCTGAGTCTCACTCTCAGTTAAGATCTGGTCCACCTGGAGTTCAGCCTCTCGCTCTCCCAGGTTGTAGACACAGGTGAGCTGGCCGTCTACAACTGCCATGCCAATATAGTCCCTAGAGACCTGGAGATATAAGGATCACCTCAGAATTCTTCAAACACAATATTTTCTTAACTCTCCTTCCCAAGAGATCCCAAGGGCTTTTTTTGCAAAGAAATAATAATTTTATGTAATAAGCCTTGGGCAAAAAGAATAAATGAGGTACTTTCTCTTACAGGCTAATACAGAAGACTAAATACTATATGGGGCTGTCTTTGCTCATGTTATAGTGCAATCATTTATTCATTTCCCCATTGGCTCAATCTCTAAGTTCTGGTTAGCACCTACCACAAAGATGTACCAGAAATGGACTCAGTCATCCTTTAGATTTTAATCTGGTAAGGGAGATAAAACACTTTCGTTCTCCCAGTACCATACAACATTCTCTTAACACATGATGAACACCCTTGCTATGACACCTCTACATTATCATGGTCAGTTATGTATGTATCTTTCTTCCCTATTAGAATATGAGAATCTTAAAGAGAAGAAATAATTTTTTAAATTTTTATAAAATATACATAGTATAAAATTGACCATTTTAAGTATATATTGGCATACAGGACATTCAAGAAATAAATTTTTGTTTATTATAAATACAGGGTGTGGCACATAGTAGAGTACAGTTGTCCCTCTGTATCCACAGGGGATTGATTCCAGGACCCCTGAGGACACCCACATCTGCAGATGCTCAAGTTCCTTATGTAAAATGCCACAGTATTTGCATGTAACATTTATATATACTCTTGAAGGTGATCCTTTAAGACCTCTTTAGGCTATGTGAAATACCTGGTATAATGTAAATGCTATGTAAATCCTTGGTATACAGCATTGTTTAGAGAATAATGTCAAGTAAAAGGTATACAAGTTATAGATGCAGTTTTTTCTGAATACTTTTGATCCACAGTCATTTGAATCCATGCTGTGGAGCTGTGAATACAGAGGCTGACTGTGTATGGTATGAATTTGTTGAAGGCATAGTGTGCATTGTGTCATAACACAAAGTGAAAGTCTTTTCATGAAAAAAGGAAACTACAAATAAAATGCTAGTACCTTAAAGCATGAAAAGGTAATTAATAATAATGTTGATTTTAAGAATCTTTAAATGTAGTAGGGAGGAGGATCAGAAGAAAACAGACAGGACTGAGTTCTGATAAAGTAGCAGGGGGGAAGGGATGGCATAGCAGAGAGATAAAACCTAAAGAATTCAGTGGGTGGGCAAAGGTGTGGCCCTCCATACTGGAGAATAAAGCCCTGAAGTTTATTGCCTCCTGAAAAAAAATAAAAAAGAATTCAAAGGTGAAGAAGGTCACATAGCACTAGGGGTAGAAGGGCACTCAGCACTAGGCTGAAGTAGACTATAGAATTGCATGCAACCATATATGGGCTAAACCTTGTTTTTTAATTTTATTGCTTCTGTAACCTGCTTGCAAGGGTACATAAGGTGAGACCCCTTTGTTCTTGGGGCTCAGCCTTTGGACATGAGTCCACTAGGACTGTGCTGGCACAATAAAATGTTTCTTCCTGCTAAACTGCCTCAGTGTCCTGTATCTCAGATACCAACTTCCCACAACATAAATACAATGTTCATTAATGATAGCTATTAATTTCCTAATCAGGTAGCATTTTCAAGAATCATATGTCAGACACTCCTAGTGCAACAACTGTATCTTAACCAAGTCAGTGATTAGCTTTTCTTCTGACCCTAAAATATATTTCTTCAATATATTTAAAAGGAGGGACTAGAAGCTAAAATCAGCCATTTAAAATGCCTGTCCTGGCAGTGGTTTAATAAATTTAGGACAATAAGAAGATGGCATACCTGCATTTCTTATTAGGCAGACGAGACTTTGTCTTGTTCCAGTTCTCACTCATGCATCATCCCCCACCCCTCAGACTTGGGGAAGGGTCTGTGGCTGGGTCTTTGGAGGAAGAGGATGGGGTCACAGTTCTGTTAATTCTGTGAAGCCCTGGCCATGTGGGGAGAGGGTGCTGGTCCTATACCTCAATTCTGCACGTGCTCACATGTACAAACATGTGTGTCCATTCACTGGGCCCATTAGGTGAGGCATCTCGATCCATCCGTGATGGGTAGGAGGTCCTTTGTGTCAGGGAGGTAAGGGTGGTGGTGGTGGGACCTATGGACATTTTGTTGGGATTTCTAACAAGGAGCTAATAGCAGTGACACAGCTGTGTCAGAAGTCTCAAAAGTACACCTCTCAAAAAACATTCTGATATAGAAACAAGAGAAATACTTACATCTTTATTTCCGAGGTACATCACAAACATATTCTCAGTCCCCCCATTTTCTCTTGAGTCAGGTCGTTGCAGAAACAAAGATAGAGATGTGTATCCTCTCAAATCTTCCAGGTCATTTGGCAGTCGGACTTCGACACCAGATCTACCATTGAACCTCATGGGAACTGCGACCTGTGAGGAATAACAAGGTGTCACACAGTCTACTGTGAGGAAAGTGAGTGTGCTCAAGGAGACAGTTTGTGATTTTATAGCTATTTCTCTTAACTGAAAACTCACTAAGTTGTTCTAATGAGAGGTGGGGAGTGTGATTGTCTCCTAGACCCAGGTTAGAAACTCCTGAAGTCATGTTAGGAGTTAACAAAGCTTTCACATTCTCCCTGTTTATTAGCCAGGTGCCTTTGAGAGGTGTATTTAGTTAACATTAAAAATAATAATAACAATAACACCAACCCTAGATGGGTTTTTGTGCAGAAGAGTTAATGTATTTGAAAGCACAGGCATAGTGGTTCATGCCTGTTGCAGATACACACGGGCATAGGTAGGAGGCTAGCCCCAGGCAAAAATGGGATATCTGAAAAATAACCCAAACTAAAAAGGGCTGAGGGTGTGGCACAAGTGGTAGGAGCCCTGAGTTCAATCCTTAGTATTGTTAAATAAATAAATAAATTTTATTTTGGCTCTGAGTTCAAACCCCAGTACTACCAAAAAACTTAAATTAAAAAATATTTTTTACAGTAATTGGGATTGAATTGAGGGCCTCATACTTGTTAGGCATAAACTCTATCACTTGAGCCATGCTGTAGTCCTTTTGCTTGTAGTTTGTTTTTGAGATAAGGGTCTCATTATATTTGCCACAGCTGGGCCAGAAATTGCAATTCTCCTGTCTCTGCCTCCCAAGTAGCTATAATTACAAGGGCATGTACATTACACCCAGCCTCAAAAATATTTCTCAAATGCACTGTTTAAGGAACTGATTTCCATTAACATGCTATATGTTATGGTTGTATTTATGACAGGCATTTAATCCTTTAAAATGCACAAATCAAGGCTCTAAAACAGTGTTTCTCTGAGGTGAAGGACTCTCCTCCCCTAATCCATCATGGACCAACACTTTTATAAAGTATATTAGAAATTAAAATTACTGGAAAAAGGAAACAAAGAAGCTATACAAAATATAAGCCCATGTCAAATGCAACTCAAATCATTAAAAGCTCCCAAGTATTTTTCTTACTTCCATACTTAGAGTTTAAGGAACTAGAAACAAAAAATGGTCTGACTGGCACTGGTCTGGGGATTAAGACTGGGTAGCTCTGATCTAAACCACAGAAAATAAGTATTCTCTAATAATCAAAAGAATAACATTCCTGGAATGGTAATGCACCAATTCTGTATTTTATTCATCAGGCATTTACATATTTATTGAGGATCCTGCTTAGCAAGGGGCCTTAACGATGGGCAAGTTGAGGTTCCCCTCACAACATTATGAGCTCACTGCATGCCTCTTCTCTTCTATTCACCCTCTGAACTCTAGAAGACCCAACCACATCTCTGAGTCTCTTCTTGGCTTTTGTCAGCTGCAAAACTCCTGCTCATTATTTTGTTTTTAGTTAAGAAGACATTTCATGTATGCAAAAATAAAGGATGGAAAGCTGGGCATGGTGACACATTGCATGGAACCCTAGCACTCTGGAGGCTAAGGGAGGATCAAGAGCTCAAAGTCAGTCTGGGCTACATAGTAAGACCCTGTCTAAATAAATAAATATTAATATACCTGTACTTGCACCACTATCTTAAGAAATGAAACATAACTGATATGATTGTCCCTATTCTCCTTTCTCTACTCAAAGGTCACCATTAGTTTGGATTTGGATTCTCATGCAACTTTCCATGCATGCTTCAATATTTTTGCTATATACAGATTTATCTATAAACTATAGTTTAATTTTTCCTGTTTTATATATTTTTATATATGTGACATCAGTCTATATTCATCTTTCCAAAGTTTGCTTTCTTTGCAGGGAACTGTGTTTTTAGATTGATCTGTATTGATATTCATGGCCCTAGCTTATTCACATTTACAATTGTAAACATTTGGCTTTTCTCCAAAAAAAATGTTGTGATTATATACTATGTTGCAATGAATATTATTCTATGTATCTGTGAATGCTATTCATTAGTGCTATTCTGAGCAACTGCAGGTGAGTTGGGTGTTTGTAAGATATACAGCATATACCTCTATGCAGCGTTATTTTTTGGTCCTGGGGTTTGAACTCAGTGCCTTGCACTTGCTAGACAAGCACTCTACACTTAAGCCACACTCCCAGCCCTTTTGCTTTTAGTTTGTTTTTTTTATCAGATAGGGCCTTGGATAGTAATCCTCCTATTTCTACCTCCAAAGTACCTGGGACCACAAGTATGTACCACCATACCCTTCCTCCATCCAGTTTCTTGACACAACCAAAGGAGCCACTTTTAGTAGGAGAGCAATTTGAGTTCAGGTCTATAGCTTAATAATTTCTGTGTTCTCCTACCCAAGGGTGCCAATGTATACTAGGTGTTCAAAAGCACTTGCTTACTATTTTTAAAAATTAGTTTCCACTAATGCTGCTTACTATCTGCCAGGCGCTATTCTACATTAGCTCACTTAACCCTAACAATTTCATGAGGTTGGCTATTATTTACTCTTCTCTATAGATGAAGAAACTGAGGCACAAAGAGATGAAGTGACTGGACCAAGGTCTCACATCTTATCAGTGACAGAGCAAGAATTAAACCAAGACAGTCTGGCTTGGTTAACCAGTTCTTAACCACTATGCTATACTATAGTTCAAATTTTGTCGAACAATTAGTGAATCAACACAAGACAAAAGTTACAGACATAGTCCTTTCCATTTGGTTTTTACAAAGTTTTCCAGACTATACCTTTTCTCTTTGTTTCTGGCTAAAGACTTTTATGTTGTTAGTACTTCTCTTTTCTGAAAGAAAGGGCAAGTTCTGAGGCTCAAAACAAATGACATTGAGCCTAGAAATCAACCATGGTGCTCCAGGGCAGTGGTATTCTAAGTTGGCTCTCACTGCCCCAAACATCTCATATGGAGCTGGACAGGAGCCATGGAAAAATACAAGATATTTCATTAACAGTAGTCCCCCCTAATCTTGGGTTTTGCTTTCCAAGGTTTCACTTACCCACAGTCAAGTGCAGTCCAAAGTTACTAAATGGAAAATTCCAGAAATAATTCATAATTTTTATATTGTGCACCATTCTGAATGGAGTGATAAAAATCTTGCACTTCCCATTCCATTCTGCCCAGGACCTGAATCATCCCTTTATCCAGAGTATCCATGCTGTATGTACTACCCACCCCATGATCACCTAGTAACTATCTTGGTTATCGGATCAACTATCTCAGTATCACAGTGCTTGTGTTTGAGTAACCCTTATAGAGAAACCTAATTCTACATCATAACGTTTAAACTATTCACCTTACTTCATCTCATCACATAGGGTGAACATAGTATAATAAGAAGAGGACACTGCACACTACTTTAGGACAAATCATGAGGGAAGAGTGTCAGGAATTCAAGCAAATAATATCAGGTAAAATTAAGAAAAGCTGATGCACCAGTGCTCCAGTGCTGGAAAATTACTATAATCCTATGTCCTCCAACCTCAATAAACATGGAGTCTCCAATTTTCAAATCATGAGAGAGTAGGTCCTGTGCAATATCATACTGACACATTCTGACCATGGAACCCTCACTTGACCTTGCAATAACAGTTTAACAGATGGGCACTGGAAGAAAATCCTTCCTGCCTGCATAAACTCAATAAATAGAAATTGCCAGAGGTCCCTGATACACCAGAAAATTTGGGGGGGGCAGGTTAAGATCATGTGCATTTCTGAGGGGTGACAGAAGGAAATCAATCTTTACATTTTAAACCACCAAAGAAAGAAAGAACACCAATGCTTGAGTAAATAAATGCCTTTCCTTTCTTGGTGAATGTAATGTGATACCTAGCTTATCAAAGAACTAGCCTCAGCCGTGACAACGTGAGGGCACCCACCTTATTCGCAGCATCTCTAGCCTGCTGAATAAGTTCTCGTATTCGGTCCACATTGTCAGAGATGTTTCCCAGGGGGAGCAGTTGTTCGTTGATACTTTCAATCTTACTCAAGAGATCGGGCAGTTTCTTGGTTAATTTCTTTACTGTTGATGAGATTCAACATCAGGAATTTAAAATAGAGCACTAAGAAAAGGGTAAATGCAGATGTTCTTACTGACAGTATTTGTAAGTGGCATGTTTGGGCCCCTAAAACTGAACAGGATCACAATCAGATAATAATCAGATAACACTTTTTGTAAATGCATCATGAATTTTATTCTACAATGTAGTTACCAAATCCTTTTCCTTTACCACTATAGGAACAATATGTACTTTTTTAAATGCTTAATAATAATAACTTAACATGTCTTGATTCAGAATTTATCACTCTGCAAAAAGAAAATCAACAGCACTGTATTAAAAAAAATAGCTTTCCCAGTCTTTCTAATAGAATATTTACATGATTTGAATGTATTATGTGAAACTGTTTTACGTTTTAATTTTATCTCAAACTTTACCAGGAAGAACTGAAATAAACCGAGGCACATAACAAAAGAGAAATGTCTAATCTGTCTTGATCAAAGGATGCCTGATACCTGAGTTATTGGCATCAGTTAGAGCCTTGTTGAAGTCTTCACTCTGTGTGCTTCCATAGGTATCCTTAATTCTTCCCAAGTCTGTCTGAATGGGGTTGAGCCCATCTAGAACCTCACTTGTGATGTCATTGGCATTTTTGACCATGGTCTTTGCACCACTCATGATGTTATCGATGTTGCCTATGGCATACACAAATAAGGAGACATAAGGATCTAAAACATTCAACAGAAGAAACCAAAAACAGTGATCCAGACAGATGATGACCTCTCTGTATCCCACGGAGATCATCACGGATAGTAGTGAGGTTGGTGTCTATCAGTTCCTTCTGAACTGACACAATTTCCAGGGTTTGCTGTAGGTTGTTGAGAGCTGGACTGATTTCTAAAAGAAAAGAAACATCAAGAGACAATTACTTTATGGATTTTGATCTTTCATTGACATTTATGGCCTCTTAGTGGCCAGTGTCTTCAGACCACGGACCAGACTGATACCTCAGGTTTCATCTCAGAGGTGCCCACTGCATGTGCCTGGACCACAGCTCTGAGGCCCTCTGGTTACAGGGGCCAGAAGCACATCAGAACTTTCTGGTGGCTGGCTCCTTGGGAAGGGAGAGACTGAATAACTTAGCAGACAGAGGCTAACTTCCACTCTGTGTGGAGAAGACTGTGCTTACTGAAGGATGTGTCTGTCTTATTTTTTACTGTATCCTGACACACAGTGTGGTATGTGACACTAGTCAGGACTTAATACTAGTACATATTTGTTGGATGAATAAAGTGTATAAATGAACATGAACAATGCAAGGTTAAGAAAGGAATGTTTTTGAGGCAGTCAAACATTTGCGTCCTTTGTGTCCAAAGTAGACATTGTTTCTGTTCATTTCCAAACTGACACATTAAAAAAATTCCATGAAAGGGTGCTAACAAAACATTCCTAGCTGATAATATTGCCATCTTTGGGTCATGGAAAATGACCAGAAGACACTTTAAAACCATACTGATGATATATGAACTACATTATGATTCAAGGACTATTTTGCTTAGCAATGTAGTTAGCATTCCAACCTACTTAAAACACAAATCCTGGGTTGGGAGTGTAGCTCAGTGTGTGCTTAGCCAGTGTGAGGCACTTGGTTTGATTTTCAGCACCTCAAAAAAGAAAAAAAAACCAACCCTACAAATAAGCAGGTGAAAAAAGAGAATCAAAAACTACACTAATTCTACTTCTAAACTCAAATTTTAGAAAGAAAGAAGTTGCCATACCATGAAATCTTAACTCTTGAAATTTGCTGAGCAAACGATTATCCATTAGTACCTATATTTCTGCATTTTATTTTTCATATATTTAATGTTTTAACTCTTTAAGGCAGCATCCAATTCCTCCGAAAGGATTAAGAAGCTCAGCAAGGACCATTGGCTTAGATACCTGCCCAGCCATGAGCCCACAAAGACCAGAGAGTTTAAGAGACAGCATTTTCAGACCTCAGGAATTTGGTGAGCTTGAGGCAGTTTTATGCTTTAAAAAATTAAATGAATGAAAAAATTTCAAAGATAAAATTTATGTTTAAAAAATCCTCATGTTTCATAGTAGTGATTTTGGGTATTTTTAGTTGCAAGGTTTTAGGACTTAAATTTTGAAGTAGTTGCTCTAACAATCTGGAATGAATGATCTTGATATGGGTTATCATTGTCATGATCATGGGCGAATTAAGAGTCCTCCACAAGGTCAGGCCAAAATAGGACTATTACATTTAAGACTTCTCTATATATTTATAAGACACTAGTTAATTTCAGATGGATAGGAATATTTAGGAAATGGGATGTACGAAACTGATAAAATAAATCATGAATTCATAAAGTAAGCTCTGCGTTGGCATTGAAATTCAGAAGGAACACTCCATAAGTTGTTTAAAGTCCCTGAGTATCCCTGCTGCACCCCACCAATACCTTGCTGCAGCTTCTTCTGTGTTATCTTGGCTTCATTTAACAGTTCATCACTGTCAGAACTCAGGCTCTTAGCCTTTCTTGGAAGATCTTCCTTTATCACTGTCTGAAAGCAAAGCATTTATCAGCCTTAAACATACACTATACTTTAGGAAATCTACGGTAAGATTTTTCACCCTAGCCCTGAAGTCCTTATTTTTAAAGGATGAACCATGAATGATGAGAAGGGGTAAAAAGTACACTGTTCCCTAAAAGATATGGCTAGGACTTTAGGTAGACATCCATGGTTTGGCGAGATGAACCCATCTCTGTGACTGATATGTGCGCTTATTGTGTTGCTTGTTGTCACTTGTACAATACTCCCCACGATAAAGGAAGAGAGAACTTAAGTTTCTTTTAGATTTCTAAACTTTAGGACCTGAAAGTCTTCAACCTTCTAAGATGGCCTATCCTCCTAACCTTGATGTTTGATATTTTTCAGCTATAGAAATATTATATGGTACATGTTAAGATCTCACAGGACCTCACAGACACGTGCAAATATAAGGTCAAATCACCAGGAGAACATGATAATCAAATTGCTTATATGAATCTCTTCTTTTTTTTTTTTTGGTGGCCTTGGAGTTTGAACTCAAGGCCTCCTGCTTGCTAGGCAGGTGCTCTTACCACTTGAGCCACACCACCAACCCAATCTCTTTCTTCTTGGTAAATGTTATACTTAATCACAGCATAAAAGCAGACCTGGCAAGAAGCAGGTTTGTTTAGGTTCAAAATCAATTATTGGTGTAATTTCTATCTGATTTTACAAATAATATTTAAGCTACACTATAGACATCAAGTAGTGAAGTATATATAGAAATAATACATGCTTATAGCAAGTTCAAGTCTATTCTATATAATAGGTTCTGATTTAAAATAAACAATGCTTTTTAAATATTCCTCCACGCACATGAAAAGAGGGTAAGAAAATAAGCTGCTTCCAGAGAGAATCTAAGAGAACGTGCAGGTGCAGCTCCAGGTCCCCACCTGGAGGGCCGACTCAGATGCACTGGTGGCCTTGTTGGCAGCATCCTCTGCTGCTTTGATGGCACTGAGGATGTTCTCATAGGCAGTGGCAGCATCCACAGCACAGCGTACCAGCTCATCCCCACTGGCATTTCTTTTTATACTGAAGACAATACAGGGAGGACAAGGGTTAGGTCCTTTAGCAGCCTTCCTCTGTACATGGACACATGAGTGGTAGCATCTGTGGTAATGCCCCAAGGACACAGCTGGGAATCACCCCTATTCCTGGTCTGGTTTTGGCTAGGCTATGGGTCCTGGATGGAACTTTTGCCTGGACTCTGCCTTTTGCCCTGTTTGGTATACCCATCCATTCCAGCCAAAAGCCCTGTTCGGTGCTTGAGCAGCCTGTGACATTTGAATGTCTGTGAGGCAAGCACTCACTCTTCCAGCTGCTTTGCCAGATCCTGCAGAGATTGTGCGTGCTTTTCTGCCTCCATCACCAGGGGTGCTTTGCTGGCAGATCTGGAGAGTTCTCTCACTTTGTCACTCAGTTCTTGTCTTGTTCCTTTCAAAGTGCCAGCTAATTTTTCATATTCCTATTTTTCCAAGTCAACAAAAACAGAGTAAGTTCAAGCAAAGAATGTATATATCATTTTCTCAAACTCTGTCATAAATGATGTTTTCAATGAGAACCGATTTACCACACCAATTTATGCTTGGTTACTTGAGATAGTGGCATTGATGACATCCCCCACCCAAGTTTTACTATCATCTTGAACATCTACCTGCTGGTGGGTACCTCATTTAGTAAATTAGAACCACAATTCCATCATCAAGGTAAAGTTCTGCTAAACCAAAGGACTTTTTATAATATAGAAACAGCTATTAAAGAAAGACACTTTCAAGATGCCCATTGGGCTGCTAAGACAGTTCATCAATCCTTTATCAAATTAGTAAGGCATGCTTGATATTTTAAAGAAAGAATTGCAAATTTTTTGTTATCACAAAAATGATTTGTTCATTGCAGGCAAATTGGTAATCTGGATGGATTTAAAGAAGACATGCCGTTCATCCCCCCACCAGGGGAGAACCACTGTTAATGTTTTGGGATGTTTGGTCCATTCAAAAGACATATACTCAAATTTAAGAACAGATCAGCCCATCTCACAGTCTCCTGGCAACACAATTGGAATGTTCTCAGATTTTCCTGGAGAACAAGCAGTGTCCTATACCTTCTGGCTTTTGTCCATCAGCTGCAGCACATTGTTCATCTGCAGCAAAGAGGAGTCTGCAGTAGTCAGGTACTTGGTGAACTCACTCTGCAGGGAATCAATTTCTTTCACTTGTCTCTGGAGAGAATAAAAAGGACATCTGCTTGAGCTCCATGACACACTATTGGAAGACACAGACACATTTATGGGACAAGAGCACATACGTAAGTCAGAGCCACAATTTTTTTTTTTTTGAATCTAACAATGGTCTAGGCAACATACTGCCATGTTGCCATAGTTTCCTCACACTATGTGGCAGTGAGACAGGGCTTACCACTGTTGAGGGAGGCTTCTACAATAGGTCGACTCGAGCAACGAGGTGGGCATATTACTAAGCTCTGGTTTGGGGGAGCAGAATGAGACTTTAAATAAACTAGGATCAACTATTACTCTGCCTGACAGTTACAATGAAGATACAGCAGGTATCTGAACAAGAGATGACACAGGACAGGAGCATGCCAGGATGGAAGGCTGACAAAGGTCAGGACCCTACTATTGGAGCCTGCTTCCTTTGGCTCCCTGGCACAATCAGTGATCCAAACAGGTGTTACTATCTAAGGAGGCATTGGGAGCTGTCACCACCAAGCTCCTCTTCTTTGGGAGTCATCCTATGTTATTCAACTCTGGCCTTAATATAATTTGATAACCCCTCAAACCTTTGTTATTGTTTTGGTGTAGGATATTCACCATAAAAAATATAAACTAACTAGGCATGGTGGCTCACATCTGTAATCCCTGCTACTTGGGAGGTGGAGGCAGGAGGATTGCAAGTTTGAGGCCAGCCCTGTGACAAAAGTAGCAAGACCCTGTCACAAAAACAAACAAATAAAACTGAAAGAGCTTAGGATATAGCTTAAGTGGTACAGTGCTTGCCTAGCATGTGCCAAGGCCCTGTATTCAATCCCCAGCATTACTACAAGTATGCTCTAAACTCCGTTATTTCAGCTTCTGTATGTGGTCTGCACTTTACCTTCTTTCTTTCCTGTAAGGCAGGTAATGGCTTCAAATGTCTTTGCTGGGGTTTACAATAATGATGCTTACATATCAATTAAAGTATGCCACTGGAAACATATGAAACATGCTTTGAGTTAACTCTAATGTGATGACTTTCTCATCTACTTTTTTGGCAACATTATTCCCCCAGTTCTTGTTCAACCAGGAGAAGCTGAGGCAGTTTGTGAGGCTGTTTTTGTGATTTAAGAATCTTTCCTGGTAGCTGCAGAAAAGAAGCAATCCTGGTTCTGTATTTAATGGCTCATTCCTGTTTGATCAGGGTCTGAGGTGATACGATCAGACAGGCACCTAGTCATTCCCTTTATTAGCAACAAAGACCCCTGCTCCCTCATCCCTACCATTAATAAAAGCATATGGCTTCCAGCTGTGAGCTCACCTTGATGGCTCCCAAAGCCCGCTCATTTTCATGGTTGAGGCCAGCGGCCTGCTTTGCCCGGGCATCTGCTTGCTGGAGCACAGCCCGCAGGTCATGGAGTTTGGCTTCATAATCATTTAAAGCATCTCTAATATTCTTAACAAGTCCATTGTTCTCCACCTGGTGAGTTCCCAGCCAGCTCCTTATCCGGTTCAGCACTGTAATACATCACTTTATGTTTCCCACTTGAGAAATGAATGTATTGAAGCTAGGTTATAAAGGCTACAGTCAGAGAATCAAGTACCTGCTCAAATTCCTTGAACTTTAGAGGAAATGGGGAAGGAAGCTAAAATTTATGTAGACTTATTGTCTGCATTTCCTCATTTAGCATTCATGGTAACCAGGCAAAACATCATTCTCATGTTACTGACAGGAGGAATGACTCAATCTTACCTGCCACACTTAGGACTTGAACCAGAGTTGCAGAATATAAAGCACATGTTCCCTCAACCACTAAAACTGCCACCTTTCAGTTAAAAGCCAATACTAATTTAACATTTGAGCACTAAAATGTTACAGAAAAGCTACCACTACCTGCATATTAATCACACACACATCATTTTACCAGAGAACAAATGCCAGTACTTGAAAAAAAATACACACCGAGCTAATGTCTCTCAGATTTGAGCTAGTGAGGCAAAACTTTTAGACAGGCTGGGCACAGAAGCCCAAACCTGTAATCCTAGCTACTTGGGAGGCAGAGATTGGGAAGATCATGGTTTGAGACAAGGGAAGGGGGTACAGTTAATGAGACCCCATCTCAACAATAAGCTGAGAGTGATCGTGTGCATCTATCATCCCAGTGTAGACGGCTCATGGTCCAGGCCAGCCCAGCCTAGGCATAAAGTGTGATGCTATACCAAAAATAACTAAAGCAAAATGGCTAGGGGTGTGGTCCAAGTAGTAGAGCACCTGCCTAGCAAATGCAAAGTCCTAATTTCAACCCTCAGTATTGCCAAACAAAAACAAAGAAAATTTTAGATATATTCAGTTCATTTCTATGATATTCATGTTTTTGTTTTACAATGGTAGTACTAGTATCAATTTGTAATTCGAAAACCCTACAGTGTAAAGTAACCATTAAAAATGATATAATAAGGGCCAGGCATGGTAGTACCTGGCTAAGCAGGGGGAAGTAGGAGAATCATGATCTGAGGCCAGCCCAAGACAAAAACTGAGAGATCCTACCTGAAAAATAAACTAGAGCAAAAAGGGCTGGGGCCATGTCTCAAGTGATAGGGTACCTGAGTAGCCAACACAAGGCCAAGAAAGAGGTGAAAGAACATAAAGAAGAATGAAAATGCAGTTTTCCTTTAAGCTTAAGGAAAACAGGTTTTCTTTTGCATGATGGTAAGATGTTATATTTTATTCTTGAGACATTTCTGGGCTAGTAGTGGTGGGAGGGCAATTCTCCTTTCTACCATTTGTTAAACTGATTGAAATGAAACCTTCCCTATAACCAGAAACTCTATATTGTACTTTGTATATGATATTTCAAACCAATCAGAATGGACTAGATGAAGAATCTGGGCGGTCCTTACAGAGTTGAGCCTCTCTCTTTTCAGTTTCTGCTTCTCTGAGGTGCTTTCCAAAATTTCGGCTTCGCATTTCCCTCATCATGCGCTCAGCTTCTGCCAGCTCTCTGGAGAAGTTGCCCAAAGGCAAGTTGTTTTCTCCATCTGTCCTGGAGATCTGCTTAAGAAGAACTGGGGAACATCAAGAAGTTTATTAAACCGGGAGTTCTGGGTTCCAGTAGGCTACTTTAAAAAAAGGCAGAAACTTTTATGAAGGTTTCATATTCATTTTTTAGTTCCATATAGGATGTTTTTCAGAATGTTAAACTCACAAAAGGAAATTCTTTCAGCATACAATGAAGGTTATGTAACAAAAGTATATTTAATTGAGCTGAGTAACTTTTCTTACTGTGCACATTCTGTATGACATTTTTGATCTTCGTGTCCAGCTCTTTTACACTTTGGGTTGTCCGATCAACATTGTTATACAATGTTTGTGCTTTTCCGGAATTTATTTGAGCCTACATGAAAAATAAACTGATTAGCAATAAATTAGTTGATGGGGAAAAAAAACTTGAAAATATTTTGAAAGCAAAACAAAGAAAAAAATAAGAAAAGAAAAAAGTGAAGGTAATTAACCTAACACATTACCTTTTCTTGCAAAGTTTCAAATTCACGATTCAAGTTACTCAGTTCTTTTTCCAGGCCATCCAGTTTTGATCCATGGTTTGAAATAGCAGAACGGTAGCTGAGCAACTGATTCTGAAAGTAAAACACAAAATTAATCTCACTTTGGAGTAGAAATTTAGACTAAATCCTCTCAACCTGGCAAACGTGGTAATGAAATGAAAGGACTCTTTTAACAAAAACAGTGCCAGTTCTACAGAACAAACTGTGGTTTTTTGAAGTAGATTACATAAGTAATCTATTTTCTCATGTAAATTGTGATATGGCTTTAAAATAAAGAAGCTGTGGTAGTCAGCTTTCTGTCATTACAACAAATACCCGAGATCATCAACTTACAGAGAAAAGGGTTACTTTGGCTCACAGCTTTACCGGCTTTTGTCCATTATCCATTGGCCCCCACTGTTTTGGGCCTGTGGTGTGGAAGCAAAATTGCTCACCACATGGTGAGCCAAAAATGAAGGACAGGAAGAGAAAGGGGCTGGGGTCCCACTACCCTCTTCAAGGGCATGTGTCAAGTGTCCTCAAAACTTCCCTCTAGGCCCCACCTCTTAGAGTTTCTACCACCTCCCACCACTCCAGGAACAAGCCTTCAACACATGAGCCTTTGGGGGACATTTAAGATCCAAACTATAGCAAATATAAAAACATGAAAAGACAGAGATACTGTACTTAAATTAATGACCTAATCTTGTAAAAATAAATATCAGATACTACTTATCTGATATATTAATTTCTACTTAAATTAATGACCTAATCTTGTAAAAATAAATATCAGATACTACTTATCTGATATATTAATTTCTAGATTCTAAAATACATCCAGTTTTTAAAACTCTGTAATTAACCTGATAATACTAAAAGTAGCTAATATGGCTACTTTTAGTGAAACACTTATCAGATTAAAAGATTCCAGTCTAACCAAGCTATAGGGGAATTCAGAACTTATATAGTTGAATACCCTTATATTACAAATGAGAAACTAGAACCTTAAAGAAATTGGGTAACTTGTCTATATTGCATAGTTGATCAATGATTGCTTCAGGTTACAATCCAGGTAGTTTGTCCCTTTTTTAGAACTACATTACCTTATTACATTTAAATAGTGATATTGCTGAATATAATATCTAGAGCAATGATTATTTTCAATTTTTTGGAAAACTGTTAATATCTTCAAAAAATTGATAAGAATAAAATACTATTGCCTCCATTTGTAAGTTGGAGACAATTTTTAAGACTATATGCTTGGAAGTTTAGGTCCAAACCCTAGGTCTACTGCTTATTTATGAGTTGACCAAAGCTCATGCCCTAAATCAGCAAACTGGGGATTATAAATTAAGCTGTAAGGTTAGTTTTGGTGGTAAGTAAGCAAAAGTATTCTAATATGTCATGTACAAGTGAGCATTCAAAAAATATTAGTTCAACTTCCTAATGAGTTGTCACAGTTTTTGTGTGAAACAACAAGAAGACATTCACTATAATTTAATCCCAGCAGAAAACCTGGGTTAGAGGGACAGTGGGAGCTGACAGCCAGTGGTTCACACCTGTAATCCTAGCTACACAGGAAGCAGAGATCAGGAGGATTGCAGTTCAAAGCCAGTCCTAGGCAAATAGTTCATGAGACCCTATCTTGAAAAAACCAATTAACAAGAAGGGCTGGTGGAATGGTTCAAGCAGTAAGAGTGCCTGCCTAGCAACCGTGAGGTCCTGAGTTCAAACCCCAGTGCTTCCAAAAAGAGGACAGTAAGTAAGGCATTGTCTTTAGACTTTTGTCTCAACTGGAATTCTTCTAGAACCTGCTCCCCATCATGTTCTGCCTGTGTGATTTTAACTGAGTCACTTAGCTTTTCCATGCCTGGTAAATGAAAATAACATTGTTTTCCATATAGGGATGTTGTGAAACTTGACTGAAGCACTTAGCACAGAGCCTGGCACACAGAAAGTGTACAGAAAAGTGAAGAAGTATGGGCTGAATAAAGGAAATTAAAGGAATTCACATAGCTTCCCCTTTTTACAACATGAAAGCTAGTCTTTTCCTCTCCTCTATATTAAGTCTGAAGGGATGAAAAAGAGCAATTTTTCCAGAATTACTTTTTTCTATATATACTGAGCTATAGCTACTTGTATCAGCTCTCATTCCAAAAACACTTACTAAACTTTTCCCAAAGTCTAGTCTCGCGTTTGTCTCATCTACTGAATTCTTTTACTTCAATGAATGTATCTATTTTTTCTTTTCTATGATTTTCAATTGGATCTACTCATCACTATTTCTTGTTTGATTTCTGATGGGCTTTCCTCCTCAATTTTCCTAATTTCTTGTTCCCCTAATGAATGCTATCTTTAAGTAATTTTCTAATTGTCCTATCACTTTCATTTCTCTAAAGTACACTCACCTCTTGACTGTTGCTTCAGTTGGGCATCTTTCTCATTGCTATGTAATCTGTTAAAAAAATGTTTCCAGGCTCCTTTCTGGGAGTTTTGCCTTCCACACTCCCCATGACCTCTCTAGTGATCATACAATTACTACCACCCCCACCTCACTCAGACTGTTCAGTCCAGGACTAGGTCTTATGGTTGTACTCATGACAGAGTCAGCATATTCTGTGGATCTGTCTGTGTCCTGACCAATCTTTCTGTTGCTTTCCTATTTTCTCATTGGGACATTTCTCAACAATAAGTACTGGGTAGTTTCAAGTTGTTTTTCTAGGCTTCATTCATGGCAAGAGCAGCCTTTGGTGTTCCCCAATCCAACTCTGGCCCTGTGAGACATCTGAGGCTCCTTTACTTCTCAGGATCACCTCCTAGCTACCTTCCTTTCAAGTGCACAAAGAACACTGATCAGATGGACCATATTCCGAACTATGGAACAAACCTTATCACATTTAAAAGAATTTACAAAATAGAGTTAAATTAAAAAGAAATAATAGATAGTTATCTGGAAATTTTCCAATTTGGAAATTAAACAACACACTTCTAAGTTACTCAAGGGTTGCAGATATGTCAAAAGGAAATTAGAAAGCTTTTGGATTGGATGAGAATGAAAACACAACATTTCAAAGTCTGTGGGCCACAGTGAAAGCAGCACTTAAGAGAAGAGCTATAGCATTAAATGTTTATGTACAAAAAGAAAGGTTTTAAACCAGCAAAAGAAGCTTTCATTTTGAGAAACTAGAAAATGGATAGCAAATTATACTAAAGCAAGTAGGAAGAAAAACAATATAGACAAAAATAGAAAGTAGTGAAACTGAAAACAGAAAAACAGTGGAGAAAAATCAATAAAATAGAAAGATCAAAGTTGATAAATGTCCAGCCAAAATAATCAAGAGAAAGAGATAAGGCATAAGTTACCAGTATCAGGAGTGAATCAGAAGTCACCATTACAGATTGTGCAGATATTAAAAGGATAGTAAAGAAATACTATGAACAATTTTATGTCAATACATTTGGTCACTTAGATGAAATGGATACATTATTTGAAAGATACATCCTACCAACTATCACTCAAGAAGAAATAGATAGGCTGAATAATCTCATATCTATTTTTAAAAAATAAATTTATGATTTATTAAAAACAAAAACTTACAAAAAAGACCTCAGACTCACATGGCTTCCCTGGAAAATTCTAGCATCTTTTAAAGAAGAATTCTACCAATTTTACACAAACCTCTGTTTAAGTATTCTGAATGCAAGTGACTGAGCTAAGGGCTCTGAGAATGATTAGCCGGAGAATATTTAGGAAGTGAAGAACATACATTGAAAATTGTTAGCTCTGTGTGCTCATGAGCACTTCCCACCAGTGAAAACCTAATTTTCATTTGGATCAGGGAAAGAAGAGGAAGCCCCTTGAGTCCTAAACAGGAGTCCACTTCTTCCTGCTTAAGAATTATGCATTCATGCAGCATCTAATATAGGCCCTCCATGTCCACAGGTTCTGTATCCAGGTTTCAACCAATGACCAAAACTTTTTTTTTTAAAAAAAGTTGTTTGTATTGAACATGTAGAGACTTTTTTCCTATTGTTATTACCTAAACAATATAGTATAATAGCTATTTACATGGCATTTACACTGTATTGGGCATTATAAGTAATTTAGAGATAACAAAGTATACAGGAGGATGTGCACAGATTATATACAAGTACTATTTTATACGAGGGGGTTGAACATCTGTAGACTTTGTTATCCTTCGGAGGTCCCAGAACCAGTTCCATGTGGATACGCAGGCATGACTTTATTCACTGAACGTCGAGCATGGATTCCCCAGAGACTTACCCTCAGGTCCTTGGCCTGGGTCTCCATGAGCCGAATCTGCTCCAGAGCACCAACACTGGCACTCAAGCCCTGCAGCTGCGACTTGACCAAATGGAGCTCTTCACCCATAGTGGCCAGGTCATTCAGGAGTGTCATCACACAGCTGTCACAATCTGCAGGGGCCACAAATACAGGCAAATGTGAAGCAGGTTGGAGCTGTGTGCTCTGGAAGGCACAGAGAACATAAGGCTGTATAGCCCAGTCGGTATGTGTACAGATCATCATGGGCGGAAATTACATCCCTGGCCCTCACAGGGAGGGATGTGGATTTCAAACAAAAGCCCAGTGTACAAGAGCATCTGAAGTAGAAGTGGTGATTCTATGTAATTTACTGCTTATTTTGTATGTGGGAGAAATAAAAATAAATAGCTTTTATCTACAGAGTGCTGGTTATTGACTATATTGTGATAAGGGTTTACAAGCATCTCCTCAATTGCTCTATGAAGTAGATGTAGTTATTTCGTCCATTCTCCAATTGATGACACTGAGGTTTGAAGATAAAAGGTGGTTTGCTGAAGGTCATACTGCTGATAGTTGACAGAGGCTGGATTTGCCCCTACCTTATCCTCTTTCCACCACTGCTTTCTCAGACTGGAAACTGCATATCCCAGCACTCACATATCTTAAACTAAGTCCCAACACTTGGAAGAGAATGGGAGTAGGAGGGCTTTCTTTTCTCACCATCACATTCTTCTGCAGGGCCACCATCTTTGGGCTCTTGGTCTATACAGTCTAAAAATAAGGAAAAGGTCAAAGAAGACATTGTTAGTAAACTTACTCTTCATCTGTCTTTTAACCTTGGTTTTTCAGAAGAGCTAATTTTGGAAGGTTTTAGTCACTCAGCTATCCAGCATCACTGGATAGTTTCCTTTTTCTGCCCTCACCCATGCCATTGCTCCTAGAGCATTCTCATCTCCTGGCAGGGCTGCACAGGCACTTCTTGTGTGGCTTCCTTGATTTCTTCTTCACCAAGGTCCATCTCTCTAGAAGTCCATGCCTTTCTTATAAATTAAAACTCTAAACCATTGACGTCAAGGCTTTCTTCATTGGATAGTCCCTATTTGTTCACATTTCTATATCACTCAAGACCAGTGAATAAGCATTCACTGAACATCTTTGGGTATCCCCTGTGTGTCATGGCATTATGCTCGGTATAGGAAGTAGATATCAAAACAAAAATCCCTGCTATCCTATAGTTTAACAGTCCCCTGGGAGAAGCAGACAAATGACAAAACAGTATGACAGATGCTACAACAGAGATACGCACACAATGATGTTGGGCTACAACCACACATATAAGCTGAGTTATGGGGTTCTCAGCTACAGTTCAGGAAAGCCTAACAGGCATCCTTGCACCTTCTTTACTTCTTCATATCTACTATTTTCCACATGCCATGTATTCTTCTGCTGAAATGCACTCTTGTTTCTTTTTGAAAAATAGTCTAACTTTCACAGCAAAACTCCAAACTTGAAACTTTTCTAAACATGGCCCTTCACTATTTAAATGTGTCATTGGAAGCATTTGCTGTCCTTTCCAACTTTGTGTCATTTGATAACTGGGTAAGACATGCCTTTAATATTTCAATCCAAGCCAAAACTGTTGATTGAGATGGAGCCAAAAATGAAGTCCTAAGGCATGACAGTAAGTACTCTATTCTAGACTGGTATTAATTCATTTATTCTTCTTTCCTTTCACTATGCTCACTTGATCAGATGTAATCCAGGGTTAAGTTCTGCAATTTGCCATAACTATAAGTGATTACTATTTAAGTGATGCTGTACTACCCTAATGGCATTTTCCTGATGAGTCATATTAACATTTCCTCTAAAAAAAGGAAGTGGATAGTCCTTTTTTTTTTTTTTGGAATTGTTCCTAATAAATTCATACCAACTTTCATGAATTATCCTTTTCTTATGAAATCCACCCCATTACCTGCTCACATCTCAGACCATGTAAAACTATCAGAACAAGAACACTTTGACTTCCTCAGATGTACACAAGGAAAGCTGATTTGAAGATAAACCTACAATGTCAAAGGGAGGTCTCAGCAAAATCACCAAAGTAGGTCTGAAGTTATTTTAGCTATAATTTGTTGAGTTTTAAAAATTATTTACTTAAAAAGTAAAGCTAATTATAGCAAGTTATTTTAACAAAGCTGTAAATATTACATAACCATTCCTGGGTTGTCAAAGCAAGGGGACAATTTGTTAGCTAGCATTACTTCTTATGCTTCCTGAAAATTTGTACTTGGGTCATTAGACTGTTATTTTATATCAACTTTATAAATGCAGGTTAGCTGAAGTGTCCATTGATCTTACCTCCAGTTATGGGGTGACAAGTGCTCAGTTGGCCATTGCTATTACAATTGCATGGTTGGCAGCTACCTCCAAATTTCTGGGGATTCCCAAAATATCCTGGTGCACACCTACACAAATCAGAGAAAGGAGAAGAAACACTCAAATAATTCATCATCATTTATTTTTCTCAACCTCTAGCTGCCTATTTGGGATATTGTAACTCTGTGGGAGAAAGGGTAATTATAGATTGACAAGAATGTATGCTTTTCTGGATACATGGAAACTTACCCCCTGAAAGAGGCTGTTGAGAATAGGAAACAGGAAGGGACTATACCTTTCCTCATTTCCTCCCAAGACTATCAGGTTCTCAAATACCGTGACAGTTGAATGACAGATGAACAAAAATGCACACAAAAGCAAATTGTTTGGTCAACACGGACGTCAGGGATGACCAGACTTTATGTAAGAGTCATCTTTGTGAACATATCACATAAATAAATATTGCTTAATTTAAGACAAATTTCCTCACAGGAATAAATTGAGAGTAGAGTTAGAAATTTCAAAATCTTGCATGAAGGAGGACTTTCTTCATATTTCCTAATGTATTATTTCAGGGCTGCATAATTCACATTTGCACTAATTGCTACAGTGGGAAATACAATGAGCTTAAACAACAGACAGCAGTTACAACTGCTATCCCTGGCCTTCTGCCATTATTATACTAGCTAAGTTAGTGATGAAAATGTAATTAGTGATCTACAAGTTTAATAATCATATGTCCAAAATTCTTAGATTCTGTTTTTAAAAAGAGTAAAAAAAAAAACACGTTAATATTTCTGGAACTGAGAGGTCAAGTGAAATATTTCCATTTGGCAAAGTTCTACTCCCTACTCTATCAGGCCAAATTGTCATTAAATTAATATATTGTATTTTCTCATCAATGGAATTGACAGAATTAGGGAAATAAAATAACTTTTTCCTCAAAATTTAAGTTTTACACACAAAAAAACTGTTAGGCAATTTCAATATACTTCACCAATGGGTACACTGGTGACATAATGCAAAGGACATAGGTTTGGGGTCAGAAAGGTCTGACTGGACCCCTGCCTCCAGTACTTACTACTGTGATTTTTGAGCTTTCATCTCTTCATCATCCTCCACCCCAAGAAAACATAACCTCCATGAAGACATGGGGGGGGGAGGGCAGTGTTTGGCTATTTTGCCTACTGCTGCCCCTAGTACCTGGTATAATGCCTGGCATATATCAGAGGCCAAATGAGTATTTGTTGAATGGATGAATGAGTGGATAATACCCATTTTGGTCAAAGGATATAAGATAAGAGATCTTTAGAATCTAGCCCAACGCTTGCATGAAATAAACACTCATAAAAAGGTAGCCATGATCATAAGACATGATGAAACACTGATTTTATAACTGGTGTCATTTGGAATTATTACATTTCAGAAAGTACACAGGAAACAGAAAACTTACATATTCCCTAATAATTAAGAAGGTAACTAGGTTGAGGTAGTTTATCTATACCTATCAAGCACGATAGTGAAATACTACTAATAGAGCTTTACTTTATGATTGGCTCCCCCCCATTCTGCCTAACAAACAGCTACACAAAAATATTATGTTCTAAAATACTTTATTTTACACATTCATTCACATCTTAACTTTCCATGTAAAAGATGCAAAAGTACAAAGTACTTTATGTTAAAGTCACATAGATATTTAGGAAGTTTGATTCTTCTTTCTTATTCTTGCAAAGTGTTAGCTACTACTGATTACAAGAAATAACTGGTTCTCTAATACTCATTTTACAGCTAAACACAATGGATTGAAGTAAACTTCCTGATTTCACAGATGACTTTTTTTTAATTAATTAAAATTAATTAATTAATTAAAGAGCAGAGAACACATATCCCATCTGTGGCTCTGGGTGGCCAAGGAAAGGGCATGATATAAAGTAGGAAACCTTTTCATACCTGCCCCAGGCAGGCTGCTCCTCCTCCACCCAACTAGATTTCTGAAGAGAGTATGTTCCTACTTTCTAACCTCTATCATTCCATACTTAATGACTAGCACCAGGAATGATGCCTGGTGTGCAATCCATGTTTAAGAAGTGAAGAATGTAAGACATCAATCTGACATTTACTTCTGAAAAAGTGTTTTTTTTTTAATTTAAGAAACAATAGCCTGCTTTCTTGAGACATCAAATGAAACAAACATATGCTTAGAGGAGAACTGTTAATTAAAAATTTCTTTTCAAATAAGCTACCTGCCAAATAATGGATGTCTCAGCAAGCCTGTGGCTGTCTTCGGCTTCATTGTTTGTGGAGAACCATAAAGAGGATTAAATTAGGAAACCTCTCCCAGGTGTGAGCCTCACAACTTTTAAATCACAAGGCCTTTAATACTTCCACAGCTCACAGCTCCCACCTACCCATCCTTCTTGTCCCCATATAGATGTGCCTTCCTTCCTTTTCCTTCAAGGACGGTTGGATGGCCCTCCAATTGCAGCCTGACTTAACCCAGTGACTTCAAGCCTGTTTTTGTGTCCATCTACCACTGGCCTGCAGAGCTCATCATCTGTTTGTTAATGTGTCTCTTTCCCGTGCTTAGCACATTTCCAGGCATATTCTAGGATTTCCATACATTTTGTCATTGAAAGAAAGAATGAATAAACGAGACCAGTGTGAGAAATGTTCCTTTTGCTGAAATGGAAAAGGGAAAATAGAAGAACCTTAAATTGTTCTCTTTGACTATAGGACATTGTCTGGGTTTCTGAGCAGCTGTACCATGTTCCCAGCATCAGGCTGTCCCCACCTTCTATACAAGGTAGACATTTTCCAGTTTCTTGGGCTTTTTTGTATTTCTCCAACCTGACCTGCCTTCTACCTTCATTTTCTGGTTCCACTCAGCCCTTATACCTACCAAAGTCCTATCCTGTCCATACAACATTCCCAATAACCCCAGTCTAGAGTTTCCATGCCCTGCTATGAAATCTGTTTGAATTGATTTGTTGTTGTTTTTTTAATTTGGTCAAACTTTTCCAAAGTTTATCAAGAAAAATAAGCCAGAATGACCAAGGAAAAAGTTTTAGATAAAGTTCACAAGGGGAGCGTCAAAGGCATTTTGTACTTTCAGAAATAATACAGAATTGACAGTAGCACAAGAACCAAATAAAATATATAGAAACAAATCCAAGTGTGTACTGAAATTTTGTACAGACACATTTAGCTCTAGTGAATTCAACTGAATGTAACTGGTAAAAGAGCAAGCAGGTGATAGTATGAATGGGAGACAGGAAAAGCAGAGGGAAGGTCTGTTCCAATGTCACTCAATGTGCACACATTGTGGAGTGAGCACAAATGGAAGAGGAATCTGCTATTCCCAGGCACTCTTGTTCCCTGTGCCTCTCCTAGTGAGAACATCTCACACTGAGTATAGTTCCAGGGGCTAACAGACACTTCCATATTTCCTGCAACATGCTCCTGGATTACTGAGAGATGAGATGTTAGAATCTTCAAGGTTATATGAACTCAAAGCAATTTCTGCCTTACATGTTGATTTATGCAGTGTCCAGTGCATAGAAGCTAATCATGAAAATCTGTTAATGATTAACTAAAATGTAGCTTTATGACACTTTCCCTTCCATAACCTTTATTCTGTTGTTTTGCAAACGTTACTGAATACCTACTATGTGAAAAGTACCATGTTGGGCACCAAGCATTCAGAAATAAGCAAGACACAGACTGTTCTGAGTGTTCAAATATAATGTGGGGATATAGGGTGTGTGTGTGGGGGGTGGATATTTAGGGCTATGGATATGTGTGTGTGTGCAGGAGTATCTGTGTGTATAGAGAAGGATATAAAGGATACAGGAATACTTAGTGAGGTGTATATGGAGAGCTAGGTGTAGACAGGAAAGGGTATGTAGGGTTAGTTGTGGGGGAGGAGTACTTAAGAATGTACTGAGAGGAGTATGTAGGCATGTATATGCAGGAGGGGTATGTAGGAATGTGGGAAGGCATTAAAGGTATGTAGGGATATGTGAGGGGTAGTAGCAGGTCAGGATGTGGAGAGGGAGGGTTATACAGGGATAGTTGTGGGGATAGGGATATTAAGAATGTATATGGAGGACTGTGTAGAGGTGTGAATGGGGGTATGTAGAAATATAAGAGGGGGTTAAAAGATTTGTAGGTATGTGGGGAGTAGTATCAGGTAGGGATGTGGAGAGGGAGGGGTATGTAGGGACAGTGGTGGGGGAGGTGTACATAAGGATGAGTTTGGTGGTTAGAGTATATAGGGGTATGTGTTGCAGGTATATATATTGGTGGGTGTGTCTATGTCTTGTGCCTTATTCTCAGACTTCTAAACGTGAACAGGGCAAGAACAAGCAGGACGTTAATGATTTATGAAGTGAGCAGTCTTGTATTCTTCCCCCGGAGATCTTTTCTAGCTCTCAGTAAAAGGATCAGCCACAGCCCTCTCTCTGAGCCCCACCCCACAACACCCCACCTATGGGAAGACTGTGTGTAAGGAGACACCTACCTCTCACACTGTGACCCTGTATATCCAGGTTTGCAGGAGCACCTCACATGTTCCCCGTTCACAGCACAGCCTGTGGCAAAACTGAAAGGAAAACAGAAAAAGGTCATAGTAAAAACACAAACCACAGGCTTTATGATCATGATTTTTTACCACAAAGGATGGACTTCCACTAAGTGAAAATTGAAACACCTCGTGAGGGAAATTTTGTGTGAGGAAAACATTGCCTTCCCAGAGCTTATGATGAATGACTTCAGCTGACATTGGGCAAACCGCCAGGAAGGACTAACTTATTTTACTTCTGGCATGGAGAAATGCATTCCTTCCCTTGAGACAGAGCAAAGAAACTCACTGTGGAAGAGATGATTACCACAGCACTTTTTCAGGAATAACAAGGAAGGAATACAACAAGTCTAGGCAGGAAAAAAAAAATGAGTAGAGAGTTCTGATTCTCTTAATATATTTTCTCCATGTTTATTCCAGTTTCCTTTCTGTTGAGCTCACTGTTGGCAGGGAGGCCTGGACCTGAGAGCCCCAGAGAGAAGCTCAGGTTATGCCACCTGCCTTGGCATTTCTGTGAGTACCATCTCTGGAGAGTTTCAGTTTTTCAAACCAAGTTGTGGAATTTTGATTCCTTTTCTTTTATCTCTAAACTGACATATATTTGAAAAGCAGCTTTTTCTCCCCAAAGAGACCGTGAAAAAGCTCTGTTGCCTTGAGACGCGTCTGTCTGTTTCACTGAACATTACACTGACATAAATCTGAAGGAAATGGCTCCTTTCATCACTTGCTAGTAATGGGAGGCCCTCCTTGTCCTGGGAGATGGATACAGAGTTGCCCCTCCACTGGAATAATTAGAAATTTCTTAGCAGTATTACTACTGTTGGAAGAAGCAGTATTACCAGTCCATAAAGATAAATCCAAGGAACTACGTACGTGTTACTGATTAATCCAAGGAACAACGTGTTACTCCAGCTTCATCAAAGCTGGATGCTGACCTTGATGATAACAATATGCTTTGCAACCAAAATTGAAGTGCTTCTCCTGAGCACCCCAGTGGAGATATTGCTGCTTCCTACTCCTGCCAGCTTCAGTTCAGGCAAGTCTGGGCAGGCGAGAAGTGGTAGATCTCCATGCAAATAAAGCTGCAGGACTAGGCAGGCTGACAGGTATCAAATATATAGATAGCAAAACAGGGCGAACATTTCAAACACAGCTCTCCAGAAAAGCCACTGTGGGGCATGTTACTTCTGGAGCTGTTAAGACTTGGCCAATTTGATACTGGGCTAATATGAATCTATCTTTGTGATCCACACTTGTTTCTAAGCCTTTGTACTGTGGCTACAGTTTCTTGATTTTCAATTCCACTATTGCTTCATTTAGTTATCTATTATCTTATTCTTTTGCTTGGAGCCCATGGTAAACACGTCATGATGAGCAAGAATATGACAAAGTGCCAAGCCCAAAGAGAACATGGATTTCCATGAAAAGAAAATGGTGACTCTGCCTGCATAGCCTACTGGCTGCACTAAGGCCTGAATGACAGCTCAGATCCTTTCACTCAAGAGCTCAGAACTGTCCCAAGGCTTCCATCAACACTGAGGACAAAAACCAAGATGCGTAACTACATAGGATCCGAGTCCTAGCTGACCTCCAATCTCATCCCCACCTTGCTTGGAACTGAGGGAAAACCTGAATAAACCCTCTAGCTTCACTTGCTTTTAGATCACTTTAAAAAATACCTAATTTTGGAGCAGCTGAGCAATATATTATTAGTCTCTCACGAGCTTTGCTGTAATACCTCTGACGCATAGGTCTTAATTATAACAGTTGCCTAGGTGACTTCTCAGGGACTTGAAGGCCACTTTTGTTGAAATTACTGACTCTCTGTTTGGTTTGTGCAAGTATCTGATGGGTGATGTCTTTGACATAAAGGGGCAGAAAAACTCTGCCCTCAGATAACACCAATGCGGTCATTTTCTGAACATGCGTCCTATGAAGATCTACAAAGATTAGTGACACATACACAGACCACTGGTTACTTCACTTGCCCCATGTCTTAAATCACCCTTCTTCTTTATCCCATAAATATTCCTAAGCCACACTCTCAGGAAGACAAATTGGAGACTTGCTGTCCTGTCTGTCTCCATGCATGGCTGCCTTGTGGATAAACCCTTTCTCTTTTACAAAACTCAACATTTCAGTGATTGGCATATTGTGTATCAGGCAAGATGGGCCTGCTTGGGTAATGTCTTCTGCACTGCACTTCAGCTCCTTCTGCCTGTGTATGAACACATCTTCACAGGGTCTTTTCCTTTTGAGACCTTAAAGTCAAGATATTGCCATAGTTTACTCTACTTCATCCTTCAGGTCCCTGCTTAACAACTCCAGGCCACCCTCTCTAACCCAGCCACTCATTCACCATCAATCACAACCCTATTTCAGAATTTTCATCTCTATCTGAAATTCTACTTCATATTTACTTGTGTATATTTACTGAGTGTGAGGACCCTCTCTCATTTCCTTCCCCAATTCAATCCAGGTAAAGCCTCAGGAGATCAAAGACTCCACCAACCTCAGGAAGTAATTGTCAAACTACCACGTGAAGAGCAAAAAGAAAAGAAGAAAAGGAAAAGGCCAGAGGAATATACTTATTTTTTTCCTTGCATGTTATGTTTGTTAATGTCTTAATATAACAGTACTATTGAGATATAATTCACCCATGTAAAGTATAAAATTTAGCAGCTTAGTATAGCACAGAATTGTACAACAATCAATACAGTCAGTTTTAGAACATTTTCATCATCCCAAAAAGGAACCCTATAACCCTTCAACAGTCACTTCCCTTTTCTGTCCTATCTCCCCACCTACCCACAATTTCCAGCAACCACAAAACTACTTCCTGCTTTTACAGACTATTTTCAAGCTTCTCCAGTACCTGTTAGTATGAGGACATGGGCAGACCCTACAGGATCCGTGGATGGCGTTCCCATAGTGACCCTCCTTGCAGCGTTCGCAGTGCTCCCCAGCAGTGTTGTGTTGACAGTTCTTGGGATAGATGAATAGGATAATGAGTAGCAGCCTATTATGTTTATTGCTCTTGAGGTCACTGTAAATTTACACAATTTTTTTTTGTGCATGTGTGGTGGGGAGGAGTAGGGATTGAAACCAAGGCTTGGAGTATGCTAGGCAAGTGCTATACTACTGAAATACATCCCAGCCCCTAATCTTAACAATTACAACTCAGGTCCTTGGACTCTGTTCAGTGATATCAGTTCTTCCAATCATATATTTTTCCTGTCTAGTCACTGTTGGTACCACACATCAGTTACTCTGAAGCATGACATAGTAGAAAAAGACCAGCCTGGTTCATGGTCTACTCTAACATTTCGTAGTTGTGGCATCTTGGGTAAGTTCCTTCACATCTCTGAGCTTTATTATTCCTTATATTAATTTTACTGATGCATGACTATATACAATTATAAATTTCCTAAGATGTACTGTCAAAATAATGCCACTTTCCAAAGCTGTTGGGAAAATTTTAAAAAGCAAAGTGTCCCAGGCCCTTGGGAAACATAGATTCTTTTTCCTCTTCCCTTTAGCGTTGTTCCTATGAAGATTAATTTCATAGTTCACTTAACATGATATACTGAAGAGAGATAAAATTTAAGCAAGTTTTTTTTTTTGGTGGAATAGTATTAGGGATTCAACTCAGGGCCACATATTTGCTAGATGGACTCTCTACCACTTTAGCCATGCCCCCAGCCATTTTTGTATTAGCTGTTTCTGAGATAGGGTCTCACTTTTCCCCCATGGTGGCCTGAACCGCTATCCTCCTGTTTGTGTTTCCCTGCAGAACTGGGATGACAGGCACCTACCAAAGGTGCCTAGCCATTGGTTGAGACGGGATCTTGCAAACTTTTCACTGGGCTGGCCTCAAACTATCCCAGTCAATCTCTACCTCCCAAGTAGCTAGGATTATAGGCTTGAGCACCTTACCTGGCTTAGACAAGTTTTTAACACATGGAATTTGTAAAAACAGTATAAAGTTGCATAGTATTCAAAGAAAGCACTAATCTTAAGCCCTAAAGAAGGAAGTAATGTTTCTAAGCATTTTATGCAAATACAATTATATTCATTTCAAAGTCAATGATGTGAGGATACAACTTTGCAACTGAGTTGTTTATTACAAAGCCACATGCATGGTGTTGAATTTGTTTATTTTGTGGAAATTTTAATCCAGTATAATCTTTCTTGGCTTTAACTTTAGCAATAATGGTCAAAATGCACAAAATCATCTAGGGAAATTCCCCTTGTTATAGACATTTTCAAAAATATTTATATTAATTAAATGATCTGGAATAAGTATAATTTTGAAATTTTGCTTATTTATCTTACTTCTGTAAGATACAGAGGTGATGAATGAGTAGGAAACTTTCATGGGTGTGTGTTTTTAAATAATATCTGAAGCAAGGTTGGGAGAAACAAAACACACATCACAAAAGCACGGGGCTTGTTTACAATGGAATGCCTGATCTTTGATCATAAATGGCATTGTTTTCTCCAGATTAAACAAAGCTATCTTTCTTGAGCCTTTGAGTAATTGAGAATTTTATATAACATGGTTAGAGGACAAATAAGCTGTAGTGTTTTCAGAAAGACCATAAGGACTGCAGGGATACTCTATTTAACAATAATTTATTCTATATTTCAAAATAACTAGAAAAAAGGATTTTGAATTTTTCCAATACAATAAATGATACATGTTTGAGGCACTGCATATGCTAATTACCCTGATTTGGGCAAGTATACATGTATTAAAATATCTCAGAGTACCCTAACTAATTATATAATTATATATCAATTAAAATTTTAAAAATTTAAAAATAGACAAAACACTAAGATGTTAAAATATCTTTTCATATTTTCTCTAGATATAAAATTATGCTATAGGTACAACAGATTAGTAAGTATTTTAGGAAACAAGGAGGCTGTTGTTCACATGTTCCCTTTTATCATCACCAGAAGGCTACCCCTGTCTGGAGTCCTTCCTTCCTTCCTTCCCCAAATCCCACTGCAGATTCATTTCTTTTTGGATGTTGGATACTGAGAGCAAATCCACTCTGCATGGGTCAACTCCATAGAGGTGTCTTCTCAGGGTGTCAGATGAGGATACTAATGGCTTCCCTCACCTTTCCTTTGCTCAGCTACTCTGGTTCATTCATAAAACATCCTTATTTTAAACTAATTATTTACCTTTCTACTTGGTTTTCTTCCTTTTTAATGCAAATGACAATTTTAAAGAAAAACATGCCTGGATAGATATAGCTTAGTGCTCTGTGACTGAAAACATTGGGGAAACAAGAATTACACCAGGAGCATCTGCATCCTACTAAGAATACTCTGACTACTGGTCCTCCCCAGGGTCAATGGAAGAGATTCATGGAATGGGGTCAGAACGGGTGTTGAGTAATAAATTTCCATAAGAATGTCTGAAGCACCCTCGCTCTCAGCTAAGCATGGCTTCCCTGGAAGCTGTCTTTGTCATCCCTGCAAACTTGAGGCATGTGCCTGTTACATTTCCCTGTGCCATACTGCAAGTGAATGGATGAGTGAATAAATGCCACAGAAGCCTTCATCCACACCCACAGAATGTGCTCTCCTAGCCCCACTGGCCACCAACCATCTATTGGACATTTACTATATGCCCAGCTGTATCAGGTACTAAGGATGCAAAGATGGGTTGATAGCTGACTCAGGAGTACATATACTCCTATAAGCAGACATAGTCGATATAATATGGGAAAATATGATAACAAAGGTGGGCTTCCAAGTCTGTGTGTGCATGTGTAGATATTTGTACGTGTGTTTATGTGTGTGTATTTTTGTGTATGTGTGTGCATATGTGTGTGCGTACATGTGTGCATGGCAAGCCTCTTCGCAGTAAGAATTCTGCTTGATAGTTTTTAACTCCAACACTTAGCTCAATACCTGCTTAGAAATCATAAGGATTTCCTGAGGGAACAGTCTCTAGGGACACCTGGCCATTGGAGGCAAGTGAAGACAAAGAAAGGAAATGGGAAAGAATTACGAAATGAAAATATGAGCTATCTTTTCATAGGGTGAATGAACTCTAGAGAAAATTCCCTTTGGCAGGTGGACTTGACATCAAGCAATGATTCAGTGATAAAGTAAATATTTATTTTTAATTAAAGCATCCACCTGTGTTACACACAACATACAGAATCAAACATAAATTACATGGGAATGGTTATTAGCTGGAAAACAATCTTTGTTGATGTCTTTTATTCTTTTTGAACTTATAAGGTTATAATCCAACAAAATAGTCTATCAGGCAGCCCTTTACAATACTTTCCTGTTCCAGCCTGTCCCATCTTGTAGAGAAAGCAGATCCCTGGGACATGCCAAGCTGGCTCAATACGGTCTAGGAACTCAGGTAATTGAAACACACTCTAGTTACATCACACAATGCAAAGGAAGTCTGTGCCAGCAAAGTACATTTCCAAAAGAGCACAGCACAATGGGGCTCTATATTGCGGGGAGGGCCAGTGTTCTCTCCTTCCCTTGTCTGGGGAGTCCCTGGCTACCGGAAAAAGAAAGAAGCAGATTAAAAAAGGTTCTGCTTCAGGTCGCAAAAGAAACATTTCCTAAGAAACTAATTTTATGTGGGAGAGTTTTATAAAATATTCCAAAGTAAGATCAGACTCCAGTGGATAAGCTGTAGCCATCAAAAGCTGCCCTGAAGCCCTAAGAAAAAGAAAGTCATACAGGGCATGTGCAGCCAAGAATGCTGTGCAGAAGGCAAGGGAGAGGGGTGGTGCTTTCTTTCCCTGACCTGATGTTACCCCTCACCTCCTTCCTATAACCTACTTGGTAGTGGCAACAGTGGAGGGTTTGTGTGTAAGCCTTTCTCAGCATCCCCTTCTCCCCAGTTGCTTTCTTGAGTTACTGCTCATCTGACAGAAGCCATCCCCTTCTTGTGACCTCATGTCATCCCCAAAAAAACTGGAGGCTCAAAGCAGAAACTCTGAATTATTATATCTTGACAAGTGTTAGGCCCCAAGATCCACCTATTTATATAATTTAATGAGTCAGAGAGGCAGAGATGAAGAAGCTAAGGTGTCAGGTAAATTACTCACACAGGTGTTTCTCTCTCCTTCTCTGTCTCCCTTCTTCTCTTTCCCTTCTTCCCTCTCTCCTTCTGTACAGTACTTGGGTTTCAACTCAGGGCCTTGCACTCGCTAGGCAGGTGCTCTATGACTTGAGCCACAGCCCCAGCCCTTTTGCTTTAGTTATTTTTCAAGTAGGGTCTCACATTTTTGTCCAGGCTGGTATAGACCACAATCCTTCTATTTATATCTCCTGCCAAGCTGGAATTACAGATGTGAGCCACTGTGCATGGCCTAGGTGATTTCTTTGAACAGGGCACATTAAGATGAGGAAGAGGTGAAATGCAAATGACATAATTCAGTCTGATAATAATGGAGACTCCTACATAGTTATAGCAGCCTCTAATTTAGGCTTTGGTAGGAGACATGACATTAGCATCTCAGGGCAGTAGTGGGGAAAGAGGAGGAATGACTGTCTGCTGATAGCATCAGACTGTTGGTTTACTCACAATGCATATTCCCGAGCCATCCTGGCATCGATTTGAATGTCCATTGCAATTGCAGGGAACACACCGTCCAGTATATAAGCCTTTGTTATCCCGATAGTATCCAGGGCTACATCCCTTAATTCAAACAAAGAATTCAATCAAAACAAAGAAAGAGAAGACTTACTTTCCAAAGCCTATGACAATTCTGACCATGAAGCAGTCAGTGTGTGGATTTCTAACCACAACAAACCAGTCTATCCGGTTTGTTGTCAGATTTTGCTCTGTTTCTATGCCATGTAGGAGGGAAACGGAAAGAGAACAGAACAGAGGTGGGGGTGAGAACAGGGCCCCTCTCTTCACACCAGTTGTATTGAGGGCAGGTGAAGGGAGTAAAGGATGGAAGTAAAAAGGATAAGGACCCAGTCCTGGTCTGGAAGAACACAGCTAAACAAACCACGTCAAGTTCAAGTTCTCCTCACACAGCTGGTCCTTAGCTAAGTGTGAGTTTGGGCTGGTGGGAAGAGCAGTAAGGAAGGGAGGCATAAGGAGTCTTCACTGGTATCTGCACAATGATGGCAGAATTACTGGCATCATTTCACTGCCTCTCATTAGTCTGTGGGCAACAGGGAGGTCAGGGAGACAGGAGGCTCTTGATCCAATGCAGTATTCTTCACAAATGTTTGGCCCATGCTGAACACCTGAAAGAGTCTTCTTGGGTTTGGTCTTATTTTCTTGTTAGATATTGCTTTGATTTGATTATTTCTATCACCAGTTTACTGTCTTCTTCCAGTATAATAGTACAGATTATTATTTTTTCATATAGATAAAATAATTATAGTTTTCTCTTCACAAACTGGTATCTTTTTAAAAGGATTTGAGTTAAAATGCCTCTAATACATTTTTTAAAAAGCAGTGATTCTTATTTATAGACTTCTGCCTTTAAAGAGGATATAGACATGTTCTTTGTTTTGGCAGAGCAAATAAGTGCACAGTATAAAAGTGGATGCTGTCCCTTGTTTTGTTACATTGATCTCCTATATGCCCTGTCTTTAAAGTATCAGGAAAAATTAATATTTCAAGATAAAGGACAGTCTTTTATCTAATTCTCTTTAAACAGGATATATGTCTATAGACGCTGAAACTGCAGTCAATGGAAATCTTGAAATGAACGGTCCATTTTCATCCATGCATGGCCATTAAGGTCTCTACCTGGTCAAGTGGAAGAGAGGAATAAGCTGCCCCATGGGGGAAGGTCATATGCTCTCTAGGGTAGAACTTCTCAGTCCCTGCCAGGAACTCCTTCCAAAATTACCAGTGATTACAGATGCTACCCATCAATACATCATAATTCCCAGTATAATGTTCCTTTAAGCTATTAGGAACCACATTTAGGCAAAAGAACACATTGCAAAAAATCAGATTACTTTATGTGCTATATGAATAGGCTTGTCTAAAGGAGAATCAAAGTATGAAAGGAATGTTCTTTTGCTGATAGCATAACTGTTAAGATACATCTGAATGAAATTCAGCCAATGATGGTGCAATCATATCTACAACAAACAAGCTCCACTATTAAATAGCAAGTACCTTATGGTTATTATCACAATCTATCACATTACCTGCTTATAAAATAATTATATTTGGAAAAGGACAAATTACTCAAACAAACAGATCTGGTTCCTTATAATAACATGCTTAAGTAAGAGCCTTAATTAAACATGCTTTGGGAAAGGATAGTTTATCATGATCAAAATTAAATCATCTACCTTACTTTGTTTTTTATTAGAAGCAGGAAAAATACTATGCAAGCATTATAGGTCATGTGATTCTTACAGCATATGTCACTTACTGAAATATAATCTTTTTCTTTCCTCTACAAAGCAAGCAAACATATTTTACATAAAGTTCAGCTAAAGTATTCTAATTGTATTAAAGACTTACTTTAGATAAAAATAAATACATTCTAATATACTACTTCAGTAAAGGGATTCTGTAACTGGTTAAGTTTTATACAGTGGTAATTTTTCAGGATAAAATTTCCTATAAACTTTTATATTATAAATGATAACAATTATGCCCCTATTCAAAATCCAGTGCTATTTCAGCAGCCATAGGATTTATTTCTCTGTAAGTATGCATATAACATCCAGAAAGCTTAAAGAAAGAGCAGAAATTATGAACGTTTCATGCCTGGCAAATCGAAGCATGTCTGCTAGATATTATGCAAACTTTGGTCGCTTTTCTTAGGCACGGATTTGATTGTTTCTCATGTTCTACTTTGTGAATCAATTTTCTTCCAAGTAGAATTTGGAAGCCTACAGTGGATTCTTTGTCCCAAGGCTGGAGTTACTCCCTAAGGGGCACAAAGTTTCATAACTATATTAACAGCACACAAGCATTCAAGCTCTTAACTGTCTCGACATTTCCAGGTGGGCTGATGTTTATGGGGCTGTGGTTAATGGTTCAGGAGAGCAATCTGTCAGGTACTGTAATAAATACTGCCAGTCATGTAAAGGGGAAGCCATCGGCCTCTCCCCCAGCCCACCCATTTACTCCTTAGTCACCCTAACTCAAAATGTCACAAAGCCAGGAACCCTTCCCCATCCCAAACCAAAATTTCAAAGCCACATTACCTGGCTGGGTCTATGTTCCACATTACTTGCTTGCAGATGATTTTGACCTGGAGGCTGAGGAAACTCTACGCTTTGCTGCTCTAAACTGTATCCCAGACACTGCCCCAGGACTGCCCCAAAGATCCACAACCATTTTGTACTCCAAGCTGACCACCTTACTGCAGGGGGCATCCTGGTCCCCAGGCGTCCTCTTGGCTGCACGCAAACCTCTGTCTCTTCCTCTTATACCTGCCCTTCCTGCTCAGTGCCCAGGCCTGCCTGACTCAGGTAAGGAAGGCTGTCTGCGGCAGGGGCCCCACCTTTAAACTTCACACATGAGTCAGCCTGTGGCAGAGCGCACATAACAGTCCCGCAGGTAAGTGCACCGCTCTGTAATTCCTGTGAGGTGGGGCAGACATCACCTTCTACCCACCTCGCCCTGCAGACAGCACTAGACGATTAGGGCAGCCATAAATCACAGGCTGAGTCACTGAAAGCACACACCCTAAGCATGAGGGTGGTAATCCAGGTTCCCCTCTTTTCCTTAGGCTACCTATTTTAATCAGGCTGGAAAAGAGCTGGGGGGGAAGGGAGCTGAATGTAGGCAACCTATGAGCTAAAAGTTATAAGACAGGAGCCTGGGAAATTCATGGCAGGGAAGAGGCTGCTGGTTTAAAAAGGAGAAATCACCTTTGGGTTTTCTGCTACTAAGGAGTACAGAAAGAAAGTGAAGGATTGTGTATACATTCAGCATTTGGAATACACAGAATGACAATGTTTCTATTTCCTACTAATTTTACTAACACTGTGTATTTTTCCCCTCTCTTAGGAAAAGAACATATTTACAGCTCGAGATATTAAATCATTTCCTTTTATGGCACATTTTAATGACCCAAGGACAACTCAAGTCACCTGGACCTTGAAGAACAAGGACCTGCTGAGAGCTAGAAAATTTAGAGTGCAATGTCCCTCACAGAATCTGGGAAATTTTCTAGAATTCACCTCTACTGGTGGCCAGGGTGGAGTGGAAGGGAGGCCCTGGATTAGAGAAAGGTATTTGTACCTTGGCTTAGCTCAAGGTAAAGTACTGGTGCAAATATTGGGATGCTGAGGGGCAGGTTCCCTCCTACTTCTGATTTTCTACAACCTCCCACTTTCACTCATTTATTGAGCTCCTGTAGTTTCCTTTGAATATGGAGACATTAGCTTGGTCTTCTTCACATTTAATCCTTGAAGGTAGTCTGGATAAGATATAAGATCTAGCCCAGAAGAAACTGGACAATGTCCTAGATGGTTGCCAGAAAAGCCAGCTGCAGACATTGCCCCGGGGAATGCCGTGGATGGGAAAACTTCCTACCTGACATGAGTCACCAGCATAGTCAGGGGGACAGGCACATATCTCCACATGATGTGCTCTGCGCCCACTTCCTGTGTCGGAGGCCTCCTCCAGCCCCACCTCCCCCAGGGTGAGCCGCTGCGTCTCGGTGAAGTGGAGGCCACGGATGTGCAGTCCCTCCAGTCTGGACAGCACCACCATCAGCTCTTCCCTAGACACCGGGGCACTGCTGCCAGCATGTCTGAAGTTCCCCTGCACAGGCAAAAGGAAAGATGGGGGTCCCCCTTAGGGCAGCTCACTTCCAGGAAGTTCAGGCAAACCCCAGAAATAATCCAAGAGAAAACCTTTAAGATGTGTAAGGAAAAATCAAAGATGGGAAAGTCCCTCCTGGAAGTCAGACCAGGTTGACCAGGGAGGGAGAGTACCAAGAGAAAGGGAAGAAAGGAAGATGGGGAATTGAGAGCAGTAAAATGGTATAAAATGTCCATACTGTTTTCCACAGCAGGAGCACTACTCTATATTCTCACCTACAGCACATGAGGTCCCAATTCTCCTCATCCTTGCCAACACTTGTTATTTTTTGGGTTTTTTGTTTTCAATAGTAACTATTCTAAAATGGGTGTGAGGTAATATGGTTTTGATTTGCATTTCTCTAATGATTAGTGGTGTTGAGCATCTTTTCATGTAAAATCCTGTACTCTTAACCTTGATATTCTGTTCTCTCCTTTGAACTCCGTTTCCACATTTCTTAAATGGATGCAGTGAGAGCTAATCTCTCAAGGCTATCATGAGGATTAAAGTAAATTAAACAATATAACATGTATGAAGTGTTCAGCACAGTGGCTAGCATGTGGTAGACATTCAATTGATGGTATCTATTATTACTAACATATAAGTACTTACATAGTTTTAACAAATTGAGATATAATTTACATATAGTAATATTCCCTCTTTCTTTTTCTTTTTTGGTGGTTAATGGGGTTTGAACTCAGGGCCTTGCGTTTGCCAGGCAGGCACTTTACCACTTGAGCCACACTATCAGACCTTTTTTGCTTCAGGTTTTTTTCAGGTAGGGTCTTGCATTTTTGCCTAGGACTGGCCTTAGACTGTGCCTTATACCTCTACCTCCTATGTAGCTGGGATCACAGATGCATGCCACCGTGCCTGGCTTCTTTTTGCTTATTCTGACCTTGAACTGGGATCCTCCTGATCTCTGCCTCCCAAGTAGCTGGGATTATAGGCATGAGCCACTGTACCCAGCCCCTCATTTTAAATGTACAATTTTCAGTAAATTTACAGAAACCTGCAACCATCATAAATTAATTTTACAATATTTTCAGTACCACAAAAGTGCTTATGTCAATTTGTACTCTATCCATTCTCACTCCCAACCCCAGGCAACTACTAATCTCTACTCTGTCTCTATGGATTTGCCCATGGTAGACAACTTAGATAAATACCAACTTAATTTCAATAGTATAGAAAAAAAATTTCAATAGTACACAAAGCTTTGCTTCTATTACCTTCATTCCCTCCCATGCTCTTTTGTACTATTAATCATACAAATTACATCTTTATACATTATATGCCCATAATTACTCCTTATGTAGCTTGTTCTTAAATTAGATAGAAAGGGAAGAATAATTACCAACAGGAGATATACTGTCCTTTATATTTATCTATGCAATTACCTTTGCCAGTGCTCTATTTCTCCCTGTGATTTAAGTCACTGTATAGTAGCTGTTCATTTCAGTCTGAAGGATTTCCTTCAGTATTTCTTTTCAGGGAAGCTGACTAACAATGAATTCTCTGTTATATGTGTGTGTCTTAATTTTTTGCTTCTTTTTTACTTGGTTCTCACTATGTTGCCAAGGTTGAACTAAAATTCATGATACTCTGACTCAGCCTCCCAACTGCTAGGATTACAGGCATGAACCACAACTCCCAGTGTTTTCTTCAATTTTCAAGGACATTTTGGAGAATTATACAATTCTTCAACTGGGTATTTCTTTCAGTACTTTGAATATGTCACCACCACCTTCTGACAAATCAATTGTTACTTATTGAGGACCACTTGTTTGTGAAGAATCACTGCCTTCAAGATTCTGTCTTTGTCTTTTGGCATCTTCACTATGATAATTGTGTGTGTGATCTCTTGCATTTATCCTGTGTAGAGCTCACTGAGCTTCAGGGTTGTATACATTAGTGATTTCCATCAAATTTGGGGAGTTTTTAGCAACTACTGCCTTAAATATTTTTTCTTTCCCTTCCTCTCTCCCCTCTCTTCTGGCATGTCCATTATGCAATGATGGCACACTGGACTGTGTTCCATGTCTTTGAGAATCTATTTTTTTCTCATTCTTTTTTCTTTCTGCTTCTAAGATTGGACAATCTCGACTGACCTTCGTCAAGTTTGCTGATTCTTCTGTCTGCCTATTCACATCTATTTTTGAGCCCTTGTTTTAGCCAATTTAGGTTGTCATGACAAAATACTACACACAGAGAAGCTAAAACACAAGAAATTTATTTCCCCACAGTTCTGGAGGCTGCAGGTCCCATACTGAGGTGCCAGCTGCTTTGGTGAGGATTCTTCTGGTTTGTAAGTGATCATCATCTCACTGCATCCACTTATGGAGGAAAGAGGTGAATTCTCTGGTGTCTCTTCTTATAAGGACACTAATCCTATCAGAGATCTACCCTATGACATCATTTAACACTAATTATTTCCTCACTCCAAATGCAGCCACACTGAAGGTTAGGATTTCATGTATAAATGGCAGGGATGCACAATTCAGTTCATTACAACCCTTCTAGCCTTACTGTACTTTTCAACTCCAGAATTTATATTTGGTTCTTTTAAAAAATACTTTCAATTTCTTTATTGATATTCTCTATTTGGTGAGATATACTTTCCTTTAGTTCTTTGGACATGGTGTCCTTCAGTTCTTTGAATATATTTAAAATGTTGATTTAAAATCTTTGTTAAGGACAGGCATGATGATGCACACCTATAATCCCAGCTACTTGAGGGGACAGAGATTGGGAAGATTATGGTTCAAGACTAGCCTATGTAAAAGTTAGTGAGATCCTATCTAAAAAACAAGCAGGGTGTGGTACCCACGCTTATAATCCTAACTACTCAGGAGATAGAGGTAGTTGGATCATGGGTGAAAACCAGCCCAGGCACATTTAGCACAAGACCCTATCTGAAAAACAAACAAAAAGCAAAAGGACTTTTGGGGGCATGACTCAAGTGGTAGAGCACCTGCGCAGTAAATGTGAGGTCCTGACTTCAATCTCCAGTACAAATAAATAGTCAAACAGTAAAATGCTTGCCTAGCAGGTCTGGTATCTGCCCCTCCTCAGTGACACCGGCAGTTGATGCTTGCCTGCTTCCTTGCTGCTCTTCACATGTCTTACTTTTTGTTGGAAGCTGGGCATTTAAAACAATACAATGTGGCAACTCTGGAAATCATATTCACCAAGCATTTGTTATTGTTTATTTAGTGAATTTTCTAAATAGATTCTGTAAAGTTTATAATTTTTGCCTGTATGGCTACCAAAGTCTCTTCTTTGTTAACTTAGTGTTCAGCTAATGATTGGGCAGAGTTTTCCTCAAATGCCCAGAGCCAAAAATAATTTCTCCCGATCTTTGCAAAATGGCTCCATGTGCAGGTTGAGGGACCCCTTCAACTCTCAGCTATGGGACAGACAACTCTGCTTTAGTCTTCACCTCTGGCTTGCACTGAGTTTTCAAGTCAGCCAGAGGTGACTTAGGACCATCTCAGGTCTCTCTTTACTATGTGCACATGCCTGGAGCTGTGCACATCCCTGAGCATGTATAACTTCCACATCCCCAGGATTATATGAGAGCTTCTCAAAGCCCCAACTTTCTTATTTAAGCTTCACAATTTCACTATTGGTTGCCCCAACTACTTCCCCATGAAGTTAAACAATTATCTCTAAGTATTTTCAACAACATTTCTGGGGAAAAAACTCTAATCTGGTCAAATAAGGGAAACTTTGTAAGTGGGATCTCTAAAATACCTCCAGGCAAGTCATGAGAGTTATTTAGGAAGATTTGAAAGGAACTCCAGTTCCCTTCCTTTGCCAGGTTCCTTTGGAACTACAGAGAGGAGGATGGAATAGGGCAAGTTGAATACCACAAAGCTGGGTGTTCTTACTGAGATTCAGCCATTTTTCTTGAATAAACACTTTCAGATGACACCAAGCATTTGATTCATTTCAGAGTCCTGAAAAAATTAATTATGATCATTTTGGCCAATTTTCTCAGTGCTTTTTATAGAAGAAAGAATTTTTGGAGGTTCTTTCTCCACCATGTTTTTTCGCAGGTATAATCTCTATCCGCTAAAAGAATCATACACTATGTAGTCTTTTGTATCTTGCTTCTTTTACTTAGTATAGTATTTTTGAGATTCATTCATGTTGTAGTAGGTGTCAATAATTTGGTTTTGTTATTGCCAAATAATATTCCATTGTATAGATGTACCGGTATAGGAATGTTAAAATATGTCTTCAAGATTGAGGGACTCAAAAAACATTTACCTTGAAGTTTTGGTTATATTTAATCATATAAATGAAATGTAACTTTAAAAGGAACAGTTGTAATTAAAGAGGTATAATAAAATGTTTTATGATCTGATAAGACTTCCTTTATTTAGTTATATTACTTTTATTTCTTTTGAGGTAAGATACCATCATTACCTTTCTATCCATCTATGCTAAGCATTTGTTAGACACTGATCAGGTCCCAGGCACCAAGGGAGACTTGAGAATGAGAGGGAGCTATGCTGCAGTATTTACACTTACAAGGCTTATATGATTATTAAGGATTAATTATTAATTATTAAGGATAATTAACTGTCAAATGGTCATAGAAATGTTTCAAAGTCAAGTGAGTAGTACTTTATACTCTATATAATTTGCTTTTTATATCTACCTACATATATAATCTTGTATGCTCACAAATGTTTATATTTTAAAATTCTTAAAATAAGTAAAAAAGTCATGATTATGTGAAATAATTAAAAAATGAAACCAAAAAGCTCATCCAAAACCTTTTATGGTACTTTTCCTTTACCTCGATCATCTGCACTTGCCCATGGTGCAGCCGGTCTGGCCGTGGGTCATTGGGTTCCTTATGAATTATGGACATGCGTTGACCCTGTTTAAAGACGAGTATGAATGTGTTAGTCCTTGGTTGGGGTGCTTTGAGATTTACAGTCAGCCTAAGACACACCTGACTTTTAAAAAGAGTTCAGAATTAACTGTCAGGAAAAAGGATTAGTGACATGGAGATAGATTAGTAATAGAACACTGCGTTTTTACAAACAGGAAATCAGGAAAACTGCCTTGCCTGAAAGTGGCTTAACAAGATGGAAAATTTTTTTTAAAAATCATGCTTTGCAGTAAATGTAGGAATTGCTGCTTCCATGACTGCCTACAGGACCAGATGGTGTAGAAAGAAAGAGTGTGGTGAGTGGGCTACTGGAAGAGCCAGCTGGGAGCTTGCACAGTCAATGAACTAACCTCAGAGCAGAGCTGGCCTGCAGAGGAAGGAATGAGCTCCAGGATCTTGTCCTGCTCTCTGCAGGATCCTGCCTTGCTCACTCTCATTCTCCAATCTCTCCACCCCTCCACCCCCACCTCTTTGCCACAGGGGCTCTTGGGGGCTCTTAACGGGGCAGAACAGGATGGCTAATGCCCTCCATCCACAGCCCCACCCAAGCTCACACACTATTGCCCAGTTTTTTGGTAGTAGCTCTAAACCTGAAGGCACTCAGATCATGAGGGCTGGGTTTCAGAAAGCAGAGCATTATCTAGAATCACAAATCATTTAAAACCTTAATCTAAGACACATGCCTCAAAGGTTCTTAATTACAGTGGTTTAGCACAAAGCAGCAGAGTAAATGTTCCACAAGCCTAAATTACTTTCCACGTTTGGAGGCAAAGTTAAAGAGAATTTTTAGCTATTACATCTCAGTGAATTCCAATAGTATGCATAAGAAACACCTGGGCAGCAGGTACACTGATAGCCTGAACTATGGCTGAGACACAGCACTGCAGTGTTTTTATTGGGTAGCTATTTTTCCTTAAGACATAGCTTTTAAAATCTTTGCTGCTTTATTTTCAAGATGTTCTGCAAAGGTTCCTTGGAGTTTTTAAAAATAACAGTTCAATAGACTTGCACACGAGTAAAAACAAAACACAGCAAGCCAGTGCCTGAACACAAACATCTACCAAATAAGAGGCCCTCAGCTGTGAGAAGGCATGGAGACTTGCTGGTCTCTGTTTACAGTAAATGGCACGGGAAACCCTTCAGGAAGATGGAGCTGTATTGCATTTGTCACAGCACACAAACCAGAAATGGAGGCATCTCCAGGCACCCCAACCTGTGTTGGAAGGATTGAGCCCTACACTGTAGGGGACTCAAAGTCAGATGTGACATCACCTCTGTCTCAAGGAACTGTCACAACTGCTGCTTTGGATTGCAGGCCAGGCACATAGTGTGTGGTTGGTACTTCTCAAAAAACCAGCATGGCCCCTCAACCCCATCTCTATCAAGTTCAATTCTTAGCATATCATTAAACCACCCCCCTCCCTAGTCTCCAGACTGTTCTCAGTGACTCAGCATGAGGCAGGCTAGAAGTAGGAAGAGTTTGGGGCTCAAGTAGGTTGCCCAGGGATGGCCCAGACCACCTGCACCTGGCTGGGAAGCACCCATGCCCCTCCCCACTGATTCATTATTGGGTGGGAATTTCCTGAGTATGCCCTCCCCATGGGTTAGTGTAGGTTTTAAAAGCACCTGAAAAAGAAAAGCACGCTCTCACTGCCAGCAGACTCCACCTGCACCCCACCATGCTCCCTTTTGTATTTCCCTTTCCCTAATATTTAATAAACCCCATTTACACCCACAAGTTCTGCTTGGATTCTTCCATGCCAGAATGCAAGAACCAAGGTCTTCTGAAAACACCTTTTGCTAATAACAAGCACACACTGATAAGATGGCCAGATTGACCCATGAGCATAGACAGCATCCTGCCCTGCTTTGCCCTATGCCTGGGTTGCCCTTTATTCCTGCCCCTCATGGGCATTTCTCCTTTCATGCCCATTCTCAAGGGCTTGCTCAAGGTGAACCTTTTCCATGATCTCTACTGAGGGCCTCACACACTACATAACTCAGCCCTGGCTCTGATAGAGCCCTCTTTGTTCTTCTACTCAACCACTGACCACTTAGTGTTCATGCATATATTTCCAATTGAAGTTCCTTACTCCCCCAACCCTTTTTTGGTGGTATTGGGGACTGAACTCAGGGCCTCACACTTCCTAGGCAACCACTCTATCATTTGAGCCATGCCCCAGTCCTTTTGTTTTTCAGATACTGTCTCTTGCTGTTGTCACAGCCAGCCTCAGACCATGTGTCTTCTACCTCTATCTCCTCAGTAGCTGGGATTACCAATATGTACTACACCAAGCCCAAATCTCCCCTTTTTGAGAGGACAGGGGTCACCTGTCATTTATAAAGTCTTGCAATACGGCCTTTCACATGGGTAGTGCTCAAAAGGATTTCTGAGACTAAATTGAAAGACAGAAGCATAAAACATGAGGCAGTTACTTGTGAAAAGTAAGGGCAACACAGCTAAGTACTCTGGGAGGGGAGAAGAGAGAAGCCATTTAGTCAGAGATGTGAGATCCTGAGCAGATGCAATGTGCTCCCATACTTCTATTCCAGTGTCTTCAAAGATATTAGAATGGCTTGCAGGCCCAAGGGCTCCCGCTGCCCCAAGGCTTGGTTCCCCCATGCCTGCAGTGCTACTGTACTGCACTCCTGGATCCCATGCCTGGCAAGTAGCACCAGAACTCCTGCTGCCTGAAGGCTTGGTTCCCCTGTGCCTGGAGCAGCTGCCATGGCTCCTGGTAACCTGTGCCTGCAAGCAGGCCCTAGGGCTCCCGCTGCCCATAGGCTTTGTTCTCCTGTGACTGTAGCAGCTGCTGTCACTCCTAGCAAACAGGCCCCAGAACTCCCAATGCCTGCAGGCTTTGATCCCCCATGCCTACAGCAGCTGCTGTGGCTCCTGGAAGCCCATTCACAACACAAGTAGACCCCAGGGCCTCTGCTGCATTGTGGGCAACAGATGATTCAAGTCTGCCAGCTTTGCTGCCCCACTGGCATCCTCAACATGCTATTCAGTACCAGTAGCCTGCTGCCACATACCAAAGTGACACGAGGCTCCACATTTTGCTAGACTGCTGGTGTCAGGAGGCATACCTCTCCACAGAGCACAGAGGCCCAGCGTTAACCATCAAGTCCTCCCATGGGAGAGCCTCCGCTGCCCCATCAAAAAGTGGGAACCCAGCTCTTCCACTGAGTGTTAATCTGCCATTCTGTGGGTGCCAAGAGACCTGTTTCCCTAAGGCACAAAAAGCCCAGTGCTTCCCACTGTGCCCAACCATGGTAGAGCCCCCCACTTCTCCATTAAAGGCCAAAAATGCTAGATTCCTCACAAAGGGGAGGAAAGCTGTAACCTACTACTCAGTGAGTGACACCAGAAGGCCTGCCTCTTGAGAAGCACAGAGGCCCAGAGCTTCCCATTATGCCTGACAGCTGGAAAGTCCCTGCTTCCCTGCAGGAGAGCCCAGTCTCTCCTGTCTAAGAGCTGGAAGCCCAGCTCCTCCACTGAGTGGCAATCCACTACTCTGCAAGTGCTAGGAGTCCTGCCCCCCACAGTGCACAGAGACCCAGCACTCCCCTCTCTGACTGCAGAAGAGTCCCCACTCCACCATCAAAGAGCAGGAACTCCAGCCCTCTTGCTGAGGGGAGAAAAGAGGTAATCTGCACCATAATAAGAATCCTGCAAGGGGTAACATTTCCAGCATATCCCTCTCTAAGGAAAACTGCTGGAGCTCCAGGACAAAAAAACTCAAAACCACAACTTCAGGGATACAAGGGGTTAAAACTATAACCAAAAAAAAAAAAAAAAAAAACTCCATATGAGTAAATCTCAATGCAGACTGAAACAGCAAGACAACCACTCTCCCTCAAAAGTCAATGCCACCACTAAGGATTTAAACACCTGCGTAGAGGGAGAGATATCAAATAATGAATTCCAAAAAACAAAAGGAAAAATGATTAACAACCTCAAAGAAGAAACACAAAAGCTAGTATTTGACCACAAAGAAGATATGAATAAATAATTTAATGAGCTCAAAGAGAATACAAACAAACAGATGAATGAAATTAAGAAGACTATCCAGGATATGAAAGAGGAAATCTAATAAATATATGGAAACCTTGAAAAATAATCAATCCAAAATAAACAACTCAATATCCCAAATAAAAATCTCAATCAAAAGCTTGGTGAACAAAGTGGAACAAGTTGAGAATAAAGTATCAGGACTAGAAGACAAAGTAGAGGAATTAGACCAAAGAGTAAAAGACCATGAAAGAATGTTAAGAAAATATGAATGGAACATGCAAGATATCTGGGATGCCATGAAAAGACCAAACCTATGAATCATGGGTATAGAAGGAGAGGAGATACAAACTAAAGGCATTGACAACTTATTCAATAGAATAATAGCTAAAAATTTCCCTAACCTTGAGAAAGAAAGAGTTACCCAGGTGCAGGAAGCTTACAAAACACCAAACCATCAGGACCAAAAAAGAAACACCCCCCAGACACATCATAATCAAAACACTCAGCATACAGAACAAAGAAAGAATTCTGAAAGCTGTAAAAGAAAGAAGATAAGCCACATATAAAGGCAAACCCATTAGAATAACAGCAGATTTCTCAACTCAAACTCTAAACACAAGAAGGTCATGGAAAAACATAATTCAGGCCCTGAAAGAAAGCAACTGTAAACCTAGACTAGCAAAACTATCCTTCCTAATTGAAGGAGAAATTAAAACCTTCCACAACAAGGAAAAACTAAAGGAATTTGCAACTACAAAGTCAGCACTACAGAAAATACTTAAAGGTCCTTTACATATAGAAGAAAAAACTAGAGTGAGCCAGGATGAGTCAAGAAAGAATAAACCCTTTTGAGCAAGCAGACCAGTAAACAAGGAATAGGTAAAACAACAGGGGAATAAAAATGGCTGGAAACAACAGGCACCTCTCAATATTAACACTGAATGTAAACGGCCTCAGTTCCGCAATC